AAACCCGTGGGTTACATGTATCTTGTGTTAATTAGAAGGCTAGGTAATATATCATAAATTAAGAATTATATAAAAACATTGAAATTACAGCTTAATTTACTGAATGTTTCGAATATACTGAACAAATGCCTTAGAGTGAAGTTAACAAAAGTAAAGACTATATTTACCTAAAATATACAGAATTTTCCCATAAAAAGCCAAACTGGTTTTCTCACCATCATTAAACCAAAGAGCGCAAATAAAGTAGGAAAGCAACACCCCGGAAGCAAATGTCCTTTGGGGACAACGGCCACACCTTCGGCTGCAATCAAGGTCAAAGACCACCGCCCCAGGCTTTTGACCCCAAACCCCGGGTTTCTGAGTGACAACTTAATTGTGGTTCACGGGCAAACAAGCTCTACTTTTCGGCAAAGTTCGCGCCCAACTTTCATCGCTCCCGATCCCAATGACAACGGCATTAATAATTCAATTTCGTGTCTGAAACAGGAACCGGAAGAGGAACTGGGCACGTGCCGCACCCCTCCGGTTGTGTTGTCCCAATATTTGGCAATTACTTTCGAGCCAAAGTCAAAGCCAAAGCCCAGCCATCTCTCACCTGGCTTCTAGCTGGGACCAGGTGCATAACCCCCGCCGCCACTTGGCTGAAAGCGATATCCCTAATCTATTTAACCTCCATGTCAACTGGGTCTGTTATGACCCGTTGTTGGGCTGCTCGGGACGGCAGACGCAATCTAAATTACCTCTGCTTGTGCGCCCTAGGATGTGTCGTCACATCCTGTCACAGGGCTAAAGTGTCCTTTTAATAAGCGTTTCGCAGAATCACCTTTGTGTGCGGGGGTTATGGCCTTGTTTTCATTTTTGCTAATGGCCCACAAGTCGGCCATTGTAAAGCCGACCTAAGACTTACGGCTTCCCATCCCGTGTGACGATGTCCTCAGCCATTTTGCCTAGGAAATTAACCTGTATGGACGGCAGCAGGAGCAGTGTAGGACTACGAGCAGGTTGCTGCTTCTTTCAGCAAGTGCCCCCCTAATGCATTCCGGCAAATGGAGTTATTACGTCCTGACTGCAAAAGCCCGGACGTTGAAGGCGTTTATTCCGTTCACTTGAGCACTTGGCTTACTCAAAATCGATCACACGAGCAGTGTATTTCTTAAGTTTCACTTAAAAAAAAGTATTGTCAAGTTCTTAGCACAGAATATAAATACAAATATTTTTTACATAAAATAATGCAATTTAAACATAAAGTTAGTATATATCTAAAAAGTTAGTTTATAATATATCTGATATATAATTTCTCAGTGCACTATCTTTCGGCAAACATTACACAGTCCCCCCAAATATTTCCTGCTAACGCCTTGCTAAGTGAGTGGCAATTCTTTCTTTATATTGCTGCCGCATCCTGCATGCTGACACTCGGGTATCCATCAGAGGTTAAGAGCTGCACATAACCGGCATTAGGAGGCACGAGAAGCTTAGAAATGAGTCTCGAGTGTACCGCATACAGCTCAATTTTCAAATCCAATTCCCCGGGGTGAATAAATGCGTTAGGCAATTTGTAAATGTAACTAACAGATACAAATCTGCTGAGAATGCGTGGCCGGAACAGAAGAAAGCGGACTGGAGCCGAGGCACATAATCAAAATTACAATAAGAATCTCATCGCTCAGCCACAGACACGGAGGCACTGCGACCCCGGGAGAGATACATTCTGGCAGATATGACACTGGAAACAAACGACCCAAACAAATTACACTTTTTCCCCCGCTTTATTGTTGGCAATTTATTCGCAGCTAAATTGAAATACACACCATTTACCTGCAGACAACAACGCACAGCCGCTGACTCCTGTGACATTGACAAACGGACGAGGGGCCAAGTGGGTTGGGTTGGACTTGGATGGCCTGGTCTAGAATCCAGATCGTGACATCATCTCCTCGTGGTCGGGGACAGGAGCTGCGTTGGTTGGACACATTTTTGTTTCTTTGAAGGCTGCAACCAATTCCATTAAAAAATATCAGATTCGATCATCGTGTTAATTAAACCTGAGCGAAATAAAAGCGGGGTTTCGACGTAGGAAATGGGGTTTAAAATAAAACTGGTTAACTTGATACCCTTTGGACATATTAAGAAATTTATACATATTAATATATATTAACTTTTAAAAGTCTTAAGACATCTGGAAATAAAATGGTGGGGCATATTTTTAAATTCAAAATCAAAGCAAACCTATCAGCAATAAATAAAAATATAAATCTACCAAAGCTACGTCGCAAGGACTCCAGTTGAATTTGAGGCCAAAGTGGAAAATAAAATGGGCCACATATCCCTGTACCCTGTGTATATACCCCAACTGAGCTCCCTAGTCCGAGGCTCAATTGGCGTGCCGAATGAATGGGGCGGGCAGCCGGCAGAGTTTTTGATTTTAATTTAGATAAAGTGCGCTATGGAAATCAGTTTCGCTGTAACTTTCCCGGCTTATCCGCGCACCAATCGGCCCCAGACAACTAAACACTCCATAAATACGACTACGGGAGTGCGCGGAAATCGGAGGCGAGCTTAAGGTGAGCTGTAAATTGCACGCTTTCATGTAGATAATTAATCAACGCGAGCATTCGGCAAGTGGCTGGGTTTCAGAGGTTCGCTTTGCTCCTTGTTGTGGAGAGTTCCAGTTTCGCGTTGAAGATTTCGGTTTTGCGGCGAATGTAAATGCAGTTTTATGCAAATTTATTTCTGATCTTATCCGTATAATTTTAAGTTCACAAAGCAAACGCAGAGCATTGTGCTGTGGGCTGAGATTTATTACCGGCGCCATTTTCGGAGGCGTTCGCGGAAGTCGAATCAATTATACGCCCTGTTGGCCACTCGATGCACGAAAGGAAATTGAAATTATTTCGATATAAATTAATGCAATTAAACATTCGGTTAAACAGGTTGAGGGATTAGGCTGGAAATGAAAGCCAACGCAGTTCATGTGGAAAATCAGATATAATAAATATAAATTTCACAAGAATGCCATACTGCCTATTTTCAAAATGACATAATTTCTGGGTGTCCTAAAATACACATAAGCTCAAAGATTTAATTGATTAACGATCTTAAAATATTTAAAATTTGATTAAAGCTGAAAAACTATGCCATATAGCTGTTATAGCAACTGTAGGTTAATACATATATACACCTAAGTACCTAGGAAGATAAGCAAAAGTACATATAAATGTTTTTTATTTGACCAATTATATACTTCAAGGGTATTTAAGCTTCAAAGTTAGCTTCTTTTCTTGTTGTAAATATAATTTAAATTAAACCTTATAACTTGAAAATAAAATATTTAATTTCAACTGATATTTTCTACATTTCTACATTTCTGGTAGATGCAAAGCTGGAATTTCCACTTATTTTACAAAATCAAATAGGATTCCTCTTGATTTGCAATAAAATACTTTTCTCAAGATACCTAAATACATTTATAAAGAATACACTTCCTCCACATATTTGTTTGTTTGGTGCTGGCTATTTCTTACTTCTGTTGCCAAAAAAAACAAAAACAATCAACCTTAACTACGATGCAAGCACTCGAAATTCAATCGCCAGAGCAGCTGGGACCTGGATGGGGAAAGCTTGGACCTCCTCCACGTGCATATCCGAGAGCGTTTGCCATTGCAAATGGGAAAATATTTAAATGTAACTCAATTTCGAACGCAATATGCGCTTGGAACCACTTCGGCGAGCGGAGGGCGGAGAGCATGTCCTTCTGCAGTAATACAAGATATTTTGATTTGATTTATTTATAAGTTCAATTTGTGCACATTATTTTTCCAATATTAAGCTTTGATGCGGATGCAGTCGAATCGAGTGGCGTCCACCAGGGAATGCAAACGAAATCAAATCAATTTGTCAGTTGGAAAGTGCAAACCGAATGCCAAATGAAGATGACTTATATTTGTAGCGACGGTTGGGGGAATACCCTCAGCATCTTTGGAAAGTGTCAGAGGAAAAGCACACCCGAGAGCAGGTCTCTTCTTCCACACATCGCAAAAAGTTGTGTCCTTTGCATTAACAACCTCAACTTTTCCTTGTCGAGCTGAAAACCTTGCTGGAAAAATGCAAGCAGGGGAGGCACAGCTCAGCCCGGCACACAATTGCCGGCTAAAATAAAAGAGAGGGAATTTTTTGTGTGCTGTTTCTTCAGTTGCTGCACATAATTACATGAAAAGAAAATTAGTGTCGAGATTCGCTTTGAGCGCCTCTCCAGGTGAAAACTTTTAATGAGCAATTTTCTTACAAATTCCCAAGTGTTGCCGCATTTAATTTTTTAATGAAAGAATTTCTCTCAAATTTCGCTGGCAGCCGCCACTGCGCCGCCGTCCTGTGAGTGGGAAAATCTGACAGGTGAGATTTCAATTTCGATTTCCACTGCCTTCTTACTGAGTCCTTCAATCAGGTTCGGTATCGTTTAAGACTCGCATATTTCTTGGGTTTTTCGGCTGTTAGGCAGCTGCCTTCTAGGTGTTTGTTTTTACTTATCGGTGGCAACGAGGGGATGAGAGGGAGAGTGTTCGGACCCATGTTAATGGCCGATTGACACGCCACTTGGACCTGATGGGGCTTTTAGCCCGGCTCGCACTTGACGCTGCTCCCCGAAAACAGACGAAATGCTCGGCTGCTCCCCAGGATTAATGGCGGGGGAAAGTGTTTGGATGGCGATTCCCATACTCGCCCAACGAGGTGCTAACTGAGCGTGCTGATTGCTGCCATTTTTGATAAGGAGTCCGCATTAATATTTCCCTTGCGTTGGTTGGCACAGTTTTGTCCGGTCCACTGATACTCGCCTGCTCAAATGGCTCATTAACACCGCTGGCTTCACACCTGCATGGCATACATTGGTAGTAATAGGTAGTATATATAGCTATAAATTATTGCAGAGAAAGGATATTTAAGACATTTGAAAACCGTTCGAAGAAAATATCAGACAAAATACAAAATGTAGTGTGCCGGAATATAACATTCTCATTCTGTTCAAAATTTTCTATATAGACAAAGAAATTCAAAATTAATTTTCAAAAAGAAAACAAAAATAGAATCCAAACCAAAATTCCTCATCCGACTAATTTGGTACATTTTCTCCTCGCAAACAAAAGCACCAATCAAGAGATGGCCGACTACACGAACCTATTCAGATGCCGCAAGGTTGTGATAATAGTATCTGAGGGACCCACACTCTTCTAAAGAAACGGTTCCAACTGGTCAAGTCTTCTGCCCCTTGGACAGGCAAATAATGGACAAATTTTGGTACATTTCCATATTCATAAATCTGCTGGGAAACAACTTTGAATGGCCATGTCCATAAATCGACATTTCACAGAATCGGACGGAATGTGGGTGGTCGTGAGCTGGTCTGGAGGCTGCCCTCCGTCCGACTAAATCAAGTGTCTGTTCGGTGTCAGTTTAATTGCAAACGTAAATTGGATGCTGTCATTTGCTACGTTTTCATTTGCTCGAAAGTTTCCCAGGCCCGTTTGCTACTGCTGCTGCTCCCTGAATTCATTCAGCACCCCTGGCAATTTCCATTGACTTTTGCTGCCATCCGTTCTGACGGACATTTCTGGCAGCTGTTCCGACTGCCTCAACTGCAGCAACTGCAACTGAAATCTGGCCAGAGAATGCAAGCGTTGCACAAATCCAAATCCCAGTTTTGTTAATTGGACTCATTTTGGTTGCTGGCAGCTTGTGTATTTTAAATTGACATTTCTGACATTTCTCTGGAAAAGTGAAGACTCATTTATTGGACAGGAGCAGCGGCGTTTTCCTCCTCGAGTTCCGGCTTGGACCTCAACTTGTCCTGCTCTAGAGGCGAAGTCCAGTCGAAGATGTTGTCGTAGGTGTACTTGAAGCGTTTCATCAAATCGAGAAATGATTGCCGCATTAGCGAATACAGCGGCTCCTCCTCGAAGCCCAGGGTGCGGCAGTAGCTCATGTAGGCTGCAAATTCGTCGGGATAGCCCCGACATAGGTCCTCCAAGCGAGTGGACTGCTTAGTCTCGGCAATCTTCTCGTTGCGCTGCCTTACGCACCCGAAATTGATGCCCTGCCAGGGTAGGTTGCCCCTGAGCAGGTAGAGCATCAGATAGCCCAGGGATTCCATGTCATCGCGGCGTGACTGCTGGCTGCCGCACATCGCATTGATAGAGGCGTAGCGGGCAGTGCCCACCAAATGAGTGCCGGACTTCGGCGGGATGTGGCTGTCCGTCTTCTCGTCCCAGTACTCCTTGGCCAGCCCGAAGTCGATAAGGAACAGCTGATTTCTGAAGGCGCCCCTGCCCATTAGGAAGTTGTTCGGCTTGATGTCACGGTGCACGATGTTGTGCGAGTGCACATGCTGTAGGCGCTCGATCATTTGGTCCGCCAGCGTGGCCACAGTCTTTACCGAGAAGCGGCCGCCACAGTAATCGAACAAATCGTTCAGCGACGGGCCCAGGAGCTGCATCACCAGCACGTTTACGTTCGTCTCGCTGAAGCAGCTATAGACCTGCGGAATGCCTACGCCATGTAGCACGGTTTTGTACAACCTGTACTCGTTGAGAAGTTGCGGCTGAAAGCCATTTGCGATTTCCAGCTTGATGGCCACGGGTTCACCAGTTTCCCTGCACTGCGCCCTGTAAATGTCGCCAAATGAACCGCTGCCGACCTTGGCGTAGATCCTGTACTTCCTGGCCAAGAACGACTGGCTCCTAAATATGTACTCCTCCACGTGGTCACACATAGTGCTTCAAATACTTAACTTTAAACTGTAAACTTTAAACTTAAAAACCTAAATCTTAAAACTCAAAACTTTTGGCGGCCCTCAAAAGCGTGGCGTCTGTTATCGATAAATTTCGGTTCGATTGTAGCATGAAGAAATCGAGCTTGATGTGCAAATATACCAAACAGAATACCCATAATAAAAATAACTATAATAAAAGCGGACATAAAACATAACCATTGGAGATTCGTCTTGACAAACAAAATCTTTTTATACATTAAAATTTGTATTTTTAAATGTTAAAATTCTGTTGCAAATTAATAATTATAATAATTATAAGTCGCCAGTACAGAAAGAATAAAATTAAGGTATTCTCACTTACCCCAGAGAAGCTCTTCTAGCTAGAATGCTGTGTTTCCTAAATTATAAATATTTAATATTTAACAATGTTCTAGAATGTAAATGCCGTTTTATATTAATACCAAAATAGTTTCTACTGGTTTATTTAATATGTGGTTTTGGCTTTACAATAATTTTTCACATTACCGTAAATGTAAAATATGGCATTTATATGTAGGCCTAGGGTCCTGGAAGGACGTAAAATTAAATCCAAGAAAATGTATTCTACACATGGGCAACTCACTGTAACTATGCTGAAGACTGTCTCCAAGACACGGTCCAATTGGAAGCTATAAAAAAATAAGTTTGATTAACTCCACATTTTAATTTGAATTAATTACCATATCTCAAAAATGAGCCGGTGGGTTAGAGCAAGCTGTCCAGCAGTATACAGAATTAGGCATACAGAATCGATTGCTATTCATATTGGGAGATGGCTGGCATGCATGGTTTTCTGGCATGCAGGGAAAGAACATAATGTGCGGAGTGGGATGCTGACAAGGACACTGCGGCTCGATATTGTGTTCCGTCATAAAGGACTCCAGCAGTTCCTGCTTTAGTTCTTCCACAACACTCTTGTTGCCATTAGTCTCTTCGGTCCAATCCAATATCAAGCCTCCTGTAGAGGAGTATGGTTCTGAGGAATAGTAGCATGGCGGGGGTGATGTAGAATTTGGGTCATATGTAGAATTTGGCAAGCAAGCTAGTTGCATGTCCATCTCACTACAGTTTGAATTTTGTGATACATTTCTGGAGTCAGAGCATTGATTTGAGGCTTTGGGTGCGCAATACGATCTAGTACGTTTTGGTTGATAACCTTTGGGATTTTCTCTCGGCCAACTGCAAGATCTTGGTCTCAATTTGCCGATGCTCCGTTGGCATTTGTTGCTCTTGTCATTATTTTGAATTTCTCTTTTTGCTATGCAACATGGACTTTTTACACCAATATTGGTTCTTTTCATAGAACAACAACAACTTTTATCTCTGATTGTATTGTTTTGTCTAGAACAGCAAGAAGTTTTATCACTGTACATTGACCAGCTTCCAGAACTTATCCCAGAAAGACCGCTGCTAGAGCTAGTCGTTTTCAAGCAAACCCTTTTGTTGAACATATTTTCTAGGCAGTTATTTCCTCTGAGGTTAGATCTCTTATGTAATTCGCAGTGGACCACAGTCGGTGGCCTCGAGCTCATTTCAATAGTATTTGGCAAGCAAAGAAAGGGTCTCGCGGGTCTGCATCTGTTGCTCTCAATTTTATCCGGAGACCAGGTGTGGTTGCATCCTTGATTGGGGCTTGGTTTTTGGGAACAGCAGGACTGCCGGGTTAAGCTCCATTTGGCACGGATACGACAGCGGGGGCAAGTACATCCTGCCTCGGAGGATATATTATGACTCACATTTGGAGCCCTGGAACACACCTCAATGCCTTGCCTATTGATTCGAGTTGTCCTGGAAAATATAATTCCTCGAGATTTTGCATTTCGAAAATCGTTTGACGTTGGAGAACGTCTGGCTGGAGAAAACCTTACATTTTTATAGTGGTTTTCCGTCCAGCCAGAGGATAAAGTGCAACCACTAGCTTGTCTAGATATTGAAAGACTGCTCGATTCTGATCCGACACCGATCCAGTCCTTATTAGCCCCATAGCTGGATGCTATGATCCTGGGGTCCCTTTCCAAACTGACATCAGTTCCCCGAATGGCGAGACAGACATTTATATTACTCTCCTTGTAGGGATCAGATTTCTTACCATAATTGTCTAGACTACAATTTCCGCTGGATATACGATCGAATAACTTTAGATCGCACTGATCACACGTTGGGCAGTGCATTGTGCCCTGAAGAGTATACGCGGATAACTCCTGATGGTTTTGGTTAATATTTCTGACCATTCCCCTAAAAACTGTCGGATAGTGACTGCCTGTTCCTGTATTGCTAGGACATCTTAGGTGTTTAATACCCAGAGATGGTATAGCCGAAAAGCTTTCCTTTTTCTCAATAACGGGGATCTCAACATGCGCTTTTTCATTATCTCGGTTATCTTGGGGTTGATTCTTAATTGGTTTCAGCTTGTCTTTGAAGATATTCGATCGTTTATGGGTTGCGTTTGAATTTTTAAGAAATCCCGATATTTTTTGCCTTACTGTTTTGCGCTGACGACTCCTTACGTCGTATAGAGACAGGCGTGGTTTAAAAGATTTCTGTAATGGCTCTCTTTCAAGTTTGTCAGCAGAGTTTGAATGTAGAGCAGCAGTGTCGCAGCCCGAATCCCATCGTTTTGAAGAATATGAATCGTTGGGAGCGCACGACTTCATTAGCTCCTGCTTTTTATACGGTATATCAATTCCAAAGAGTGTTGGACTGTCACTTAATTTGTTTTTATCACGAGAGGGTTTTAAATTACGTATTCGCTCGTGGCGATCATACCTTTTCGACGATGAAGAATTACCTAGGTTTTCGGAAGCTTCTCCTAGAGACTTTCTCTGGCGCCTGGGTATTTCATCATCGATGATGGGAGCTACTTCTTTTGTAATATATTTTTTGTTAGGTTGTGGGATTTCCTCTATATTAAAAATAAATTTGATTTTCTCTGCAGTTCTTCGAGGCACCGTTACATTATCCCTAGGATTATTCTCCTGCTTTTCATAATGTCCTGACTCTTCTTTAGCCCTTTTAAAAGGATTACAAAACGCTGGATCTTTCTGTGGAGGGGAATGTCGCATATTTCGATTTCTTTGAAAACTTCGTGGTTCTTGGTTCGACAAACCAGTATTTTTTATCCAATCGGTCTCAGTTTCACAATTCCTGGATGTGTCGATTGGGTAGTTTTTCTCCTTGAATGTTTTAAACAGAGTTTCACAACTTTTTCGTACCTTGGCTTTTGGTTTGAGAGCAGGTAGCGGCGGCCTAAGCCTCTTCACACCATAATCACAATCAAAATTTTTTGATGACGAATATTTAGCTTTAGTGTCACGTTCATGCAGAGGTTTTGAATTTTCAAAGGGGTCTTCGCAATCACAATCCTTCGAATCGAAAGTGTTTTCATTTTTAAAGTCCCTACGATCATCATAATCTAAAGCATAATCGGGTGACAGAGACCCCGAGGTTTGTCTGTGCTTCCGTCTTGGCCTAAACATGCTGAGTTGGGATGGAGATTGCCTACCATCTGTGTTGAAATCAGGGCAGGATTGTTCTTCTGTGCAACAAGGACTGCAGTTTCTATTAGACGGTGGTTCGTAAAATTCTCGATTAGACGCATATTTTGGCCGTGAGTTAGAGTAGTAATCATGTGGATTTTCACATGAGGAATCGGTGTCGGATTCGGTATCATAGCAATCTCTTAAATCTCGCGCTTTTTTACGATATGTGACTTCCATGGAGAATTGATTGGGCAGTTGATATTCTTCATTCTGACACAGTTTATGCGCACTCTTGTTGTAGCCTTCGTCATATCCATTATTAGTTTCATAATCTAAGGGGACAAAATGATGAGTAGAGTCCCGAGTGGGTAAGTGGGAAATCGAGGCTATATCGGCAAGTTTCCTCCTTGGCTTAGCCGACTGCAAGTGCCTGCAACTTCTTCGGCCATGAAGAGGCCGTCGGTAACCGAAATCATCCCGACTCTGGGCATAGAATTTATTAGGCTCGTCAGATGGCAATGCACACTGTTTAATTGGATTGCTCAATCCTCCGCCGGGATTTCGCACTGGAAATGTGTTTGAATTCGAGTCAGTGGACGCATTGCAAATCCAGTTAATCAACTCACGCTCTCCATTACGCTCCTCGGCCCTTGGTGCAGTAATCTCGTTTCGATGGTCACAGCGCACTCCCTCCGATATATCGACATTAAAAAACATTAATGTCCGCCGCCATTCGTGCTCAAGTGCGGTGGTGCTGCTCTCAAATCGGATTACGCTCCGGCTGGTTAGAGTAAATGACATTTTCACCAGCTCTGGGACTCATGCTCCCTCAGTCAACGTCAATTTAACTAGGAATTTAATACATACTGATTGTTTGCTTGTTGTCAGTTGGTTGATATTTTTTTCAAATATGTGTAGTTAAATCAATTATCACCTCGGATTAAATAATGTTTTTGAATCTGCACAGATGCAAACCCGCTCGTTCGTAAATGTTTTAGTTTGAGTTGATAAATAACGAACCGATTGTAAATCCCAATTCGCTGTTAGCAGATCTCGCCTTTAATTGCAGGATAATCGCCTGGAATTGCAAACATAAAGGATGTGCCAACAACGCGGCGAACGAGAACGGAAATGGAAATCAGAATGAGAATGGAATGGTCGTCATTACTTCAAGGGCGCTAGAAAATATGTTTTTAATTGCGGAAATATTTCCATTTCACAAATAGATGTGATAATTATTCAGAATGGTGCGAATTTTCATCACATTAAAATTGCAGACAATGGGGGATAGTAAAATGCAGCTAGCGGATAATGAAAATCGTGTTCAAGTGCGGAAATGCTGAAAATTATTTCAATGAAACACAACTAAGTGCTTTTTAAGTGCCCCCAACGGTGGCACAAACCAAACGGAAATGGACGCAGACGAGCTGGGCTGCCTGGGTGGGTGGTTGGTTGGCTGAAGCAGACGGGAACAGACCACGGGACCTTCAGGCCCAACACCATATTGAATTGCCGTGTGAAACGGCAAATGGTTGGTGTCATATTATCAATAAATATGCATATTAAACTTCTAATTGATGTCGAATCTTAAGCGTTCACCCTGAAAAGTCTTTAAAACCAATTTGATGTGCCCTTAAAAGAAAATATGAAGCCACAAAGCTAGACCACAGAAGTCGGCAGACCCTGAAATGTCCACCAGCTGTTTTAATTTAACTTGAATTAATAGCCAAGGCACGTGTTTGTTTTAATAATATCGCAACCAAATCATTGAAAACCCCTAAGACAAATGGAAATAATTAAATATATTATGAAATAAATTTCCAATTCTAGTATTCTAACTTTGTATTCTTAGAGAAATGCATTTAAATTAAAACATACCTATAAATATTTTCTATATATTTCTATTTTTTAAAGTTTAGCCCTCTGAGTGCTACCTGTAGCTTACAGTAAGGAGTAAAATTGAATTTGACCTTCCACCGCCTTAATAATTTAATTTGTCTTTTAATAGCTTGCGGATAATTGTGCAAATTGCTCGGAAAGGTTCTATATAAAGGCCTCCCTCCTGTTAGGCGGCATTTAGTTAAAAGGAAATTGGCAAAAAATATGTTATCGGTTAACGAGAAGTTCAGAATCGACTACTACCGTCTCCAGGTCGGCGCCTGGCGTATTCTTGGAGCCCTTGATCTGAGCAATGGAAACTACCTTGGTTGGGCGATGTTTCTCAACTTTTTCGTCTCGATGCTGGTGCCGCTGCTGCTGCTGTCGCTGTTCAGTTTCGAAACACCATTAGAGAACATCACCAATTTTAGCCTGACGATCACCTCTCTGTCCACTATCCTGAAGTTCGGCATGTATGTCCTTAAGCTGTTCAAGCTGACTGAGATGCGGCAGGTAATCGCTCAGCTGGATAGCCGTGTTAGTGGGGAGGAGCAGGTTCGCTACCACCGACAGATGGCGAAGCATTTGCAACGCCTTTCGAGAATATTCTTGGTAACCTACTTGACGGTGATGGTTAACACAGCGGGTTCTTTCCTGTTCCGGAGCGAACGGAGCTTGCCATTTCCTTTGTGGTTCCCCTTCGACTGGAGGCATTCGACGGTGGCCTATGTGGCAGTAGTGCTCTTCCAGGAGGTGGGCATTTTCTGCCAAATCTTGCAGAACTTTGTGGACGACTCGTTTCCTCCTCTGGCGCTGTATCTCATTGCCGAACAGTGCCATCTGCTGATCATGCGCATCTCCTGCATTGGCTATGGACCGGCAACGCAAAGGGCCAATGAGAAGGAACTTGTGGACTGCATCAATGACCAGAATGATCTCTATAGGTAACCATTAATAAATATTCTGTACTTTATTTATAATAATTGAAAATCCAGCTTGCTGGAGCTCACCCGCAGCCTCATATCCGGGCCCATGATGATCCAATTCATTGTAATAGCCGTCAACATTGCCTTGACCATGTTCGGGTTGGTCTCATATGTGGACACAGTGCAGGACCGCGTGTACTATGTTACTTTCCTGTGGGGCATCACCTTGCAGACGTATCCACTATGCTACTATGGCACTATGGTGGCGGATAGCTTCGCGAGCCTCCACTATGCAGTATTTTGCAGCAACTGGACTGTCCAGAGCAGCAGTTACCGCAGCAACATGCTGATCATGGCGGAGCGCACCAAGCGGCGACAGCAGCTACTAGCCGGTGCAATCTTTCCCATCCACATAAGCACCTTTGCGGTCATCTGCAAGGGAGCCTACTCGTTCTTTACCATTATGCACGACAGGGTCGACAACGAGAAGTGATCTATTAGCAGGGATAAATCACTCAAAAATTTGATAATTTAAGCAGCAAACAAACTACACTGTAGGAATAAATATATCATTACTCACCGACAATATTAAATTTAACGTTACCCAAATATGGCGATGGAGACCATTTTGGGGATCAAAGGACCGGACTTTGTCATGCTCGCTTCGGATACAATGCAGGCCAAGTCGTTAATCTTTATGAAGGACGGTAGGTTTTTAAATATATTAAACAACAACAACTGAACTATGTATTCATATTCCATTAGATCAGTCAAAAGTCCACCGCCTTTCCGACTTCAACATGATGGCCGCAGTGGGCGATGGCGGCGATACTCTTCAGTTTACGGACTACATCTCTAAGAACCTGCATCTGTACAAGATTGCCAACGGTTATCACCTAAGTGCCCGGGCTGCCGCCCATTTTACCCGCCGACATCTGGCGGACTACATTAGAACCAACACGAGATACCAGGTGGCCATGCTGCTGGCCGGCTTTGATGCCATCGAAGGTCCGGACCTGCACTACATCGACTCCTTTGGGGCAGCGCAGTCCATCAACCATGCGGGTCACGGCTGGGGCAGCATGTTTTGCGGCAGTATCCTACAGAGATTCTGGCACGCTAACCTCACCCAGCCAGAGGCCTTCTGTATCTTGAAAAAGTGCGTGGTGGAGATCCAGAAACGGCTGATCATCAACCAGCGAAACTTCGAGGTCTTTGTGGTGGACAGCAAGGGAATGCGCAAGATGGAGGCCATCAATCCGGGATCGCTGAGCAACGAGGCGCTCAATCTGAGTTGGGAGTGCACCAAAAATTAAAAAGTATACCTTAATGCCCGATAATTGTGCTCTCGGTATTGGGCAACTTTTTCTGCGTTGCAACTTGAACAATTCCTCAGGGATTAGTTGACGTGACCGGCTAGGATTTGAGTGAGCGGTTGGGGGGGATGGGGGTGCTGTTGTGGCTGCTACATGCCATGGCTGACTGCCTCCGTGTATTAGCATATGTGGCCTGCTCTCGTTCTCCATGTGAGCCATCTGTCGGAATATGTGTGTTTGCACAGCAGCGGCGCAGGGGGACACTGGAAGAAAGTTCCACAATTTACAGAAGGAAATTTAAATGTATATTTGAAAATATGTACAATTAAATGCAGTATAGATAATGTTTAAAAAAATTAAAGAATTTTATGTTTCAAACTGAAACTCATCTTAATTTTTATAATTTTGTAATGTTCTCTCAGTGCATTTTTAACATATATGCACTCCGATGGCTACTGCTACATGAAACGTCAACTGCTGCAAACCGGAAGCAGAAAAGCCAACATGTCTCTATTTCCCATTTGAACAACATTGGTCCGTCAGGATGTCGTTGGCTGGGTGGTGGTGAGTCCTTGGCAAAACTCATAAAAATGAGCACGGATTGATGCAGAAATGGACTGGCATTGTTCCGAGGTCTGAGTCGAGGGCTTTCCTAGCTGTCCTGCGTTGGAAAGTCTGCATTCCGTGCACTTCTGCCGTCAGCGGGATTTGTTTGCTGCCATCCGTGGCAGCTTCCATTGCTAATTGGCCGCACATGACAAAGTATCGCCAATTGAGCTGCTCTGCCCCTTGCAGTGATCGGAACCGTGAAATATCAACAAAGGAAAAATTAGCTGTATGGCAGCGGCTACCTGATGGTATTAGGTCGGAGAACTATACAAATGTAGAAGCTGTCTTTAAAGGTATTCAATCGAAGTAATTTTAAATAAATTATAGACGAATTACATCTTACTTAACTTATAATATTTGTATTTCTAATTATAATATAATAATTAGTAAAATGTAATATTTTTTATTAATAATTGGTCTTGAAATGTTCATTTTGTAGACATAGTTTTTCACCACTTAGTATTTTTAATGCTATTATATTTCGGTGTGCAAAAGGTAGAAAAATATTGAAAAAGCTTCTCATACCTTACACATTTGTTCGTACATTTAATAATGCAAATGAAAATATTTGCTTTTATTGGGCATTTTATAGGCCGCTCACGTAAAGTACATGTTATTAGAAATTAATTGGCAATTTAATCAAATTCTGTTGCGATTTCGCTTGACTGTAACTGGATAGACATTGATTAACATTTAATTGATTTATGCAAAAACTAATGAAATATTAAATTCAAGAAAAAAAAAGAATAAAGAAGGAACAACAGTTTTAAAAATTGTTCAGTTTTTCAGTCGCCCTGAGAAGTTTCCCCCAAAGTCGGAGGAAAAACTTTTGACATGCGAGCGTCTCAAATGAACGCGCCTGTCTCAGGGCACCTGTCTCCTTTCCACCCACTCCACACCTGAAGCTGTGAAATATATTCACAGCCATGTAGGGGAAAAACTTGCTGTCTCCAGGATAATGTGCATGTAACCCCCCCGAGTTTTTGCTGCCCGTCCCCCAACCCCCTCTGTGGTCCTGCCACCCGGCAATTTGTGACGTTTAAGGGCGCAACGAGGCAGCGACTTCCTGACAGGACATTAACTTTCTCGCATCTTCGGAGTCGCTCCATCCGACAGTCTCGCTGTTTGCTGTTTGCGTGACGACTCTGATGATGATTCATGATGATGATCCCTGCAGTTTCCGTCCCCCATTCGCCATCGCCCGCCACGCCCACTTTCGTTGTCATTTTTCATGGGCGTGGCATGGCATGGCGTGGGTTAGTTGCCTTTTTCGACAGCCTATTAGTTTTTATTATTTGCTGCAATTAGTTTTTCGGCCTCGACTGCTCCCGGCTCTGGTCTCTTATGACACTTTTCTGCACATTTTTCAACGGAATGAGCGTCATCTGTTGCCGCCAGCAATGTCGAACGGGTTACACAGGAAGAAAATTAAGAAAATTTGGGTATTATTTCTAGTTTATTTTTTTATTTTTTTAAGACAAATAGCCTGATTTGACTTTTTAAGAAATTAGTGAGAAAATACGAGTAGTTATGATAATGTTTGCAGTTAACTTTACAAGTTTTCATCAAGTGTATCTGCTTTATCTGCTGTTTTTCTCGCCGGCATTGACAAGAGCCAAACAATGGCCCGCTGCCGGCTGGTATCTATGATAAATTATGGCCAAAAGTCAAAGTCATCAATCAGAGAGCCATGTTTTATTTGCCGCCCGTGGCCATTTGCCATTTGTTTCGGGCCAAAGCCACTGGCATATGCAGCGGGCAAGATGCGAGGATAAGGATGGGAGAACGAGGGGACAAGGACAGAGACGGTGGCCAGAAAAGGATTAAATATAAATCGCAAGTGCGTAGACGGCGGACCAGCCAGACCAGGTGTCGGTGGCCGGGCGACAAGCATTTCGATTTAATTTTCATTAAAATTCAGGCATTAAATATGCAAAGGGTAAACAGCGGTTCTGCCTTGGCCAAAGCCCATTAAAATTCCTTAAAGACTCCCGGCCCCGTCACTGGGGCCAGGTGACTCCTTTTCATTCTCGAGTGCTTATTAAAATTGCAAAGGTCCAGGATTTGCGGACATTATGATGCGGTGGCTGCGAATTTATGCCGGGCCTGTCGACATCAGCTGCGCTTTCGTTCCCCGGCTGTTTAATTATGCATTTTTATCTGGAAGTCGTTCGAGCAAAGGCCGAGCCATTTTGGCATTCCGGCTGCCGTAGATGAGGGTAAACCGTCGCCGCCCCCCGCTCCGTTGCCACTTGAGGTTTGAAAACTGCAAATCCACGACCAGAGCCTGAGCCGGAATAAGCCTTCGTTTCCTTGGTGTGCAAAGTGACAGATCCGTCCCACGCTGCGTATACGCGATTGAAAGCATATCCAGGCAGGGCACGCATCCCCCACGAGTCTGTGTATCGATTTACTGTATTGATGTCACCACCAGTTATAGCTGGGACAACAGCATCATCGAGCTCCCACAATTGACAACTAAAGTTGCAATTACGAGCTGTGGCAATCCTTTTCATCTATAGATACACGCCTTCCCAACCACTTCCACCGCGCGGGGATTACCCGAAGTAAAAGAAAACTTTTCACGAAAAGCACCTACACGCAGCCCAGCGGTGGGGGGCTTTAGTTATGTACGGAAAGTGCCTTAGGGAAATTAACGAAAAAGGGAAAATGTTTCAGGAAAAACCCTCGTTCAATAGCTTTGTTTTCGGGACGCGTTTTATGGCACCCAGTTACCCCATTTAAAGGTCATTTAAAAATTTTACTGAATTACGAAAATGGTTTGCGATTTCCTTTGAAAAGTGGAATACATTTTTTTTATTTAAAAAAGGGAAGGGAATCAAAACAAGGAAAATAAGGATGTAGTTCGGCTTCAATCTGTTAAAATTAAGGGAAATCTTTCTTGCATTTACTTTGTCGTACCCAAAATGTTCTTAATATAAATCAATATATCCTTGAAAAGCCTTTATCTCTTTTACTTTCCCATGTGATACAAAAATTTGGATGTTTTACTTTTAAATTGCCAAACAACAAAAGAATGCTTTCCGGCAAAGCAGCCTTGAGCACCGGCACCACCATCATGGCCGTAGAGTTCGACGGCGGAGTCGTGATCGGCGCCGACTCGCGCACCAGTGCCGGCGGCCTTGTGGTTAACCGCGTCACTGACAAGCTCACCCGCATCACGGACAAGATCTACTGCTGCCGTAGCGGAACCGCCGCCGACACTCAGGCCATAGCCGACCTTGTGGCCAGCAAATTGGAGTATCTTGGTTGCACCGGCACCGGCAACTCAGTGGAGGTCTATAGGGCCGCCTGTGAGCTCCGAAACTGCTGTTATAAGAACCGTCAGACCATGAGTGCGGCGATCATTGTAGGAGGCTGGGATGAAAAGTGCGGCGGCCAAGTGTACAATATTCCGCTAGGCGGGATGATGATCCGCTTGCCTTATGCCATAGGTGGCTCCGGGGCGAACTATCTCAAAGGATATGTAAAGGACCGTTATAAGCCCGGCATGAACTTGAAGCAGTGCATCAAGTTAGTCAAGACAGGTGTCGAGATAGGCATTCGATTTGACACCAGCTCGGGGGGAGTGGTGCGCATTGGTGTCATCGATAAGAATGGCATCAAGCGACACGTATTTTACAATACAGATTGTGATGAATCCGAGGATTCCAGCTTTCTTAGCTTTGCCTCCTCTATTTGAGTGTTTTACTTATTATATTATGCTTTTTGTGAAATGTTAATATTACTACTGCTTCAAAATGTTTAATTAAATTAAATAATCTTAATCCATCTGTATTCAGTATAGTTTTTCTTTTGAAATTTTGAATACAAGTTTCCCCAATAGTTAACCTATTGTTATGGTTGAATTGTTATTTTGATTGTTGTTTACAATTGTCTAAAAATATATTTTTCGTATCTGTAGGATTACAGCTTGCATTACAATCATGTTCGGCCTCCGATAAACGGCCTATAAATCAGATACTTGGCCGGCGATCGCGTCAATATTCGCCTTTCGTGCAACCAATTTTATTTTGCTGCGCTCGATGGGCATAAATCACCGCTCCTGATGGCCAAAACGGGGTGCAATGGGCCGAGGATGGATGATGCTGTTTCTGCAACAAAATGTCCCAGCATTAAACATCAGCGATGGCATAATTTATGGGAAAGCCCGGATTCCGGGCCCGCGATGCCCGGAGACAGATGTGACATCGGCAGTGACCATCGTGACATTAATGCTGCCCTTCAGGCGTGAGCTTTCGGAAGCTAATGGATGGCCATCACGAAATTAAAGAGTGTGTCATGGATTTACGTTCAGGCTCAAAACATCCTTAAGATACATACGTCTAGGTAAGTTTTAATGAAAACCTCTTGGGGTAACAATAATAATAAATGTGCTTAATAAATTCCTAATCTTTCCACGACAAATAAGGGGTGAATTTTAGTAAAAATAGTTTATGTAGTCACCAAAAATTATCTCTTAAAGCATAGATTAAATCTATAGAATATTAATATGATTTATTTAGACCATATACCAATATTTCTTATTTATAGTAAGCCAGATTTAAGTCTAGTTTGTTGGGGTGTTTTATGAAAAACTTTTAATAACTCGCTCGGAGTGCATTTTAGAATATTTTCGCACCTCATGACGCCGCTCCCCGCCGACAGTTGTAAGCCAACATTTTCGCTCGACTATTGTTCGGCGAAAAAGTTCATATGTGTCCGTGCAATGGAGTCAGAGTCCTTTTCCTGCAGCAGTCCCAAGTACATCCATGTTGATAATCCCACTTCACATACTTTTCCCCATCCGTTCCACGCACTGCATTTATATGTGTGCGAATCGAGCGAAAAAATAAGGGGGACGACGGGGCAACGGGCGACGGCATAAAAAGTTGCAGTTAAACTTTTCAGCATTTGTCAGAGAGTCAGAGGATTTGTTTGCCTTTGGGGCTGGCCAGAGCCAACATCCTGCCAGCTCCGGAGCTGGGACTTGGCCTCCATCAGTCCGTCCGTTCATCCGTCTGTTTGTTTGTTTATTTTGCCCGTACGTCCCACTATTTGTTTTCTTTCCAATTTTGTAATTTCAAACTTTTTCTATTGATTTCTTGGCACGCATGAACACCTTGGGCAGCAACGACAGCCGGCAAAGTTGGCAAGTCCCTGAAGAAGGGGTGGGGATTCAATTTAAGTTGTGGGGGATTCCCCCGCAATGACCATGCGTGGCAGCAATGCACACAGGAAAAAGAAGAGTCCATAAAAAGAAAGCTGGAAAAATGCGAAGGAGTGAAGAAAGTTTCCAATGCACTTAACACTCTGTTCGCAGGCGAGGCAGGAAGAGGATGGCATGAAGGAAAAACTGTCAATGGCATTGGCAACACATTTATTAATGTGTCAATCGGATTGAAGACTTGCCCGAGCCAAAGGCGAACGATAAAGTTTTCATCCGGAAAAGGATCTGCGGCTAGGATTAGAGTTTCCTTTTCTGCAATAAAATTCATAGATATTTTTTATATAAAAAACTATAACACATTATTTTGTGTATTAAGATATCCCCAAAAAGAAACAAATTGAAATTCCAAGTTCAAGCAAATTAAGATTTTCGATAAGAAAAAAGAAAAGAGAGGTACTATTTTTATCTGATTCCGGGCTCATGTTAATCAATTTTCCACAAAAAAAAAAACAAATGGAAGCATTAGGAACCACAAAACGATTACATGACCCGGCAGTCTCCCTTCCAATTCCCAGTCACAGAGGAATTGTAATTATTCGAATTGTTACTCGTCGCTTGCCTAATGACTATTAGCCAAATGAAAACATTGCGTGCCGGCGACATTTTATTCGAGTGCACCACCCGCACCACCCGGAGCAACGGAACCACCGGGGACTGGAGCTTTATTTGCTATATTTCATGCCTGCCTGCACTTATCTCCGATTGTCCATCGGCCGTAGCGGCCCGAAACCGCCGACTGACTCCGGCCAATGTAATTTGGCTCGGTCGGAGCTTCGATTCCACTTTATGTTCTAATTACTTGCACAACACAAAAACGCCACTTCAATTTGAATTAGAGTGAGTGTTGGCCCACCGGCGGCCGCCTCCTGTTCCCGGTTAAGCCCTTATCCTGGTCACAGTTGGCGCCACAACTTTTAATTACAGCAACACAAAATTGCAGATGCAGTGGTGCGGTCCCCCTGGTCGCAAGTCCCCGGTAGCCACTTTCAATTCCATTCCCATTCGTATTCCCATTCGAAATCCCTGGATCGGCCATGCCAATGGCGAATCCAAAAAGCATATTAATTGCGCGCTGCGTAGGCGTCGCACAGTAGCGCCTCTCGAACAAAAGCCGTTGCAAAAATCGAAAAAGTCATAATCGCAAAATCGATTTAAACCATAAGAAATCGACAGAGAATTTCCCAAGGATTCCGAATCTTTAACCAAAAAAATTTTCAGATTTTTTTGAGGAAGATATGAGCATTCAAAGTCGAAATTGTTTTCCGTGTATGCGTCATACAACAAAAAATTTGTAAATTAGTCGACTTTCAGGTAATATTACACAAAAACTACATAACCAATGGTCTTGATTTTTCTTTTAAAAGACAGGTATATTCATTACCTCTTATTCAAATTAAAAAAAAGGGTAGTTTTGTGTGGGCTTGTACAGGTAAATCGCTACCTGCCAGGTGTCCATTTTTTTCACCTTTTTCTGGCTAAAGTAGTCTATAACTTCTGAAGCTGCCCAGAGCCGGCGACTACACTATGACTATGCACTGCGTGTGTCTTTCCTGAATCAGAATCCGTTTAGAAAGTCTGCGTCCAGCTGCGACTCTGGCATTGCGAAGCAAAACACTGAAACAACTCAGGGTAAAATATACCAAAATACCGACACGATTTCATACAAACCAACAAAAAATACTAACTGTAGCGCTCACGGTTCTGTGGCGGTTAAACTTAGAACAAAAAAATTTTTTTTTTCAGTTTTCAAATTATTTTTATTTAAGCAAATACATTAAAATAAAGATAAAAAATTAAATAAAAAATATTTTAAAAAAATTGTCTTCATTGAGAAATAAATATTTCTTTACTTTGATACCCTTTAAAAAGGCGAATGAGTGGGCGTGGCAGATTTTCCAATACATATGTTAATTTTACAACAATTACCTGTCAAATGGCGTTTAAATTATTTAGTTATCTTGTTTTGTTCACAAGTTATGATTTTTGCAACGTTAAATGAGAAAAGGCGCTACTGTGCGTCGCCTGTAATGGTCTATAATCGATTTAAGCACTGGCATTATGTGGCCGAGGGTCTAAATTGCAATTTCGTGTATGACAAATGGGTTTTCGGGTTTTCTGGATATTACACTCGAAGCTATAAACAGAAAATGGGCGGCAAATGGTGAGGAAAAGCTTTGAATACTCTATCGAAGCGCAAATTATATTCAGTGAATAATAAAATCATGTTTGAGTACATCGTAAATTACAGTCTCACAACGAGGTTTCTTAAAAATGATCAGAACTTTTTGGCTCTAAACAAAGTCAAATAATTTTGCTAAGTGCATTTAACTGATATTTGTTGTTAGGCAAGTCCTGTATAATGAAATTCCCACTTAGCCATTTTTACAAAGGGAAAATCCAATCGATACTCGCATTCATCCAGAGTATCTGGCCACTATATATCTTTGCGTTCTTGCCCAAGTTCACTTCCAATTAGAAGCTGTTGCGTGTAGCAATTGACCATCAAAATCAGTCCAAAGGAGACAGTCTCCCCCAATCTGCATGCATGGCCACAAGTGTGCGGATGGCCTGGCTATGGGGTAAGTGTGCGGCTTGATATATGTATGTGTGCCGGTTCAGACATATAGTATATATAGTGAGCAACCCAGGGCTCGTTATTGTTGCCGCTGCACAGTAGCGCCTCTCGAACAAAAGCCGTTGCAAAAATCGAAAAAGTCGTTGTCGCAAAAATGATTTTAACCATACTTATTCGACAGGAAATTTCCCATGGATTCAGAATCTGCTGTAAAATCAATTTTCGGATTTTTTTTGTAGAAGATATGAGCATTCAAAGTTGAACTTTGTTTCCATTTTTGCATCATAAGAAAAAAAAAGGAAAAATTTGTTGACTTTCAGGTAAAATTACACAAAAACTATACTACCTATCGCCATGATTTTTGCTTTAAATAATAGACACATTCATAAACTATAACCCTATCTAAAAAAAAGGAGAATTGGGTTAGGGCTTGCACAGGTAAATCGCTACCTGCCAGGTGTCCATTTTTTTCACTTTTTTTTGGCTAAAGTAGTCTATATCTTTTTTGGATGGGCTGAGCCACTATACACACTATAACTACGACCTTTGTGGATCTATTCTGGACCAAAATCAACTTACATCTGCTGCGTCGAGCTGCGTCCCCGGAAATGCAACAGCATAAACCAAAACTACTCAGGGTTAAATATACCAAAATACCGACTCAGCTTCATACTAACCATAAAATATACTAACTGTAGCGCGTGTCGGTTACACGTTTAAATAAAAAAAAAAATTTTTTTTCAGTTTTCAAATTATTTTTATCTGAGCAAATACATAAAAATAAAGATAAAAAATTAAATAAAAAATATTTTTAAAAAATTGTCTTCATTGAGAAAAAAATATTTCTTTACTTTGATACCCTTTAAAAAGGCGAATGAGTAGGCGTGGCAGATTTTCCAATACATATGTAAATTTTACAACAATTAACAATCAAATGGCGTTTAAATTATTTAGTTATCTTATTTTGTTCAGAAGTTATGATTTTTGCAACGTAAAATGAGAAAAGGCGCTACTGTGCGCTGGCTTCCCCGTCAACTGCAGCTGGTGGTGGCTGCACCACAAAATTCAACGCAATTTGTAAAATGAAATCGATTCAATTGATTGTTGACTTCGACAAACATACACACACACACCCCACACTCGCTCACTGACACATGCATTGTGTAACACATACACAGGCACTGGAAAAAAATAAATCAATTTATCGATATAATAAAAAGTAAAGCAAACTTGTGTAAGGTGTTGATTTAATTGGATTAATATACACATATGCCTCCCAGAAATATATTTAAAAAATGTATAAAAGTCTCTAGCAGAGAAATTTCCCTCTGTGCAGGACCATCATCCTGCTATGGGATGAGTGGGAAACGAGCGGGCAGAGAGTAATGCCGGGCGACGTCGGTGACAGGTGTCTGAGGGTGGACGTGTTCATATCGTTGTCGTACTGCGTCCTCTGTTCTGTCTCTCTGTGTGTGCACTGCACTTTGCTTGATTAAATTTCAATATTTACTAAAATGTCGCCGAACTCTTTCTGACAGCTCTGTAAATTTCATAACCGGAATCGACATAAAATATGGTCAACTGTGTGTAAATATAAGCTTGACAAGCGCATAAGTTGACTCAAATGGCTCGCGTTTTTTTTTTTTTTTGTATCCATCGCCTTTGGTCGCTGGTAATTTGTTATAGTTTGTCAAGTGCTTACAGCAACAAATAGGATATAACCCCTAGATTTAATGGATAACTGATGTTCGGATCTGGTGAAAGCATCAGATGGCTAAAGTAATTACTCAGGATTAATGCTTTGCGTTTGCCAATCAGAGTGATTCATTCGCAATCATAATTTTGAATTACACAAAAAAATGAATTTACAAACAAAAAGAGGGGGACACTTTTTTATATTATTAATGGTTGCGCTGATTGATAAATAGAAGGTCATTAAACACCTTAGATAAATATTTTTAAGGGAACATGTTGGAAAATGCAAAGTAAATGCTTTAACGTCAAATTCAAGTTCTAATATTGTGAATCTGGTGTGCTTTTTCTCTTACAACATATCACCTACATTTATTGTATAAAAAAAACGTTCCAGGCCAGTTTTCTTTTATTTTCAAGAATAATGGACACTTATGAGGAATCCAAAGAAGAAAGTTGGGATACCGATACGTGAGTTCTCCGCGTTTTTAGTGCATCTTCGTCTTATTAGTAAAATTATTGCAGAGAAGAGTTCAAGGTAAAGGGCAGACTGTCGGACGATGACAAGCCCATTGAGAAACTATCCTATCTGAATAAGCTGTTCGATAAACTGGTCCTGACTGAGTGCAAATCCAATTCTGGAGACTCGGGCGTTGGGCAAATTAAAACGGAGACCATTGCTCCCGAGAGAGACTTTATTCAGAAATTCTTCGGACCACCCAAGGATATTTGCTGGGAAGAGGCCTCGAAGAAGGGCGATCCGGTGGGACCCGATTGTGAAATCGACTATGAAGCCATCTTCAAGGATTCGAGCAAGCTGGCAGCGGTGGAGAAGCGAATCCAGCTGCTCTACAGACCCTTCATATGCGTTATGAACTTTGGTTGCCGGTTCAACCTGTATGAGCTGGCCATCCTGATGCCCGATACCCGCTTCGATCCGGGCAGCCATCCCTCCGTGTCCGTGAGGCTGCACAATACCTTTGCCCAGGTGAAGATATATGCCGGTGGCAAAATGGTGGCCACCGCCCTGTCTACTGATGCTGCCCGAAATGCCCTATTCAAAGTAGTCCGGATGGTGCAGGAGATGGACTATAAGGCGGACATCCAGACCTTCAGCAAAAATATTGTGCATGCTTCCTTCTGCTTGCCGTTCAAGCTCAATGTGGAGCTGTTGTCGCAACTGCATGCGGAACATGTGACTAGAAACCCTAAGAGGCGACCCTTCGTCACATACACCACCGAAAATGAGGGCGTAAGATTTGCTATATTCCCCACTGGCTTCGTCATGGCCCTTTACTCCAGCTGTCACAACGAAACCCGTTCGGCCATTGCTGCCTTGCTGCCGATCTTGGCCAGGGTACAAAACGGATATCCCACGGCAGCGGAACTCCAGGAATGGCAGGCCAGAGATGTGAACTATAAGTTGCTGTGGGAAAAGAAACTGGAGGACGACAGGGAAGGTCTGTTGCTCTATTCGTGACTTGAGGCAACCTAGATTTCTTCGTTTAAATAGATTAAACTATCTAAAGAACGAATGTCTCTCTTATCTATGTGCTAATTACTAAAGAGAAACTCTACTTTTAATCGGGATATTATGACATTCCGAGTTTCCTGTTTCCGGTTTCCGTTTCATTTTTTTCTGTGAAATCTAGCGAACATTTGTCATAAAGCAAAGTTCTGCACGTGCCCTGTTTACACTCGCCGGCAAGCTGGGCAACTTGTTTAAATACGTGATTTATTCGGCCGCCAGCTGCCGAGCGACCACCAAACAACCAATGACACTCCACTCCAACTAACCACGGGCTATGTAGAGATGGTATGGGATGTTATAGGGCCTAGGCCCGGGGCCAAAGTTACTCCTTCGAGAAGCAAGCTCTGGCAAAAACTGAAAACAAGAAACAAATGGCCAAAGAAGTTGCAACTGAAGCTGCAACAGGCGCATACATAAATAACGAAACATTTTCGCACACTTGCCGGAACTTTTCCGAGGAAAATGTCACATTATGCGGAACAAGTTGCCGCCTTAAACACGTTTCCGACGTGCAGCAGCACCTTTCCAAATGTTCCGGACTTTTCCGGGAATTTTTCGGTTAAAAATATTACGGGAAGTCATATATAAAGAAATTTAAGTAATTTCTGAGGGAAAAGAAAGGAGTTTAGAAAAGGATTTAATGAATAATATTTTAATGATATAAGGGAGGTTTATTCACCATTCACAATTTTCTACTCACTCTAGAATTTCATTATTTTAGATCGATATTTCATCTCTTTTTAAAAAGGCCACAACGAAAACTTTGTTCATTAAAAGTGCACACATCTTCCATGGCATTATCAGTGGCTTGTAATCTTCAGAATTTCTGTGCTTCCACACAACAAATTGAACAAAGAAACTCCATCACATGTACGAAGCACAAGAGTGCCAGGGGATATCCGATTGGGACAAAAAGAAATTTCGATGGAAGAGCAAAATAATACGCAATTTATCTATTTTTGAGGTAGGCAAACTTCGATGGCCCTAAGCGCTTTTGGCCAAAAATTTGCGGAGAAAAACCACCAGAAAGCGAAGGAGGAAAACTACCAATACGATACGATGGCGATGTGATGATGTGGTGGTAGCAATCGGGCAAGGGAATCCGGGGAATCCGATTAAAAAGTTGAACCATCAAAGTTTAAGAAAAGGAGGCGGGCGATGGGAGACGAGAGATAGAGGGACTTGCGTTTTATGAATTATGCATTCTTGCCCGGGGACTTTTTGCTTCAAAGCTAAAAATTATCCACTCGCCCGGCTAACGAAAAGGGTTGCGGTTGCCTTTGAAGATTAGACAACTTTGCCAGAGTAACTGTTTTCGCATTTATAAGAGCCCATAAACTGCATAAGCAAAGAAACCGTATTGAATTTGAAATGTTCTCTGTCCAGGAACTTCCCCTTTCGCATAAGGATTTAATAACAGTGCGAAATGTCAGCAGATAGTTGCCATTTTCCGTTCGCTTCCGTCTGTGGTCAACCGCAAAGATTTTACACTCAAAAAGGTGTGGCAAGTGGACCTTTGCAATTTTAATAACTACTCAAAAGTGGCAAGCTCGTTCGTTAACCACCAGGACAGGACAGGACAGGACACACACTCCGGCAGGTCTCACAGGGCTGCAGCAAGAGCTGCACTAAAGGACTTTTTGCATATTTAACAAACTGGAATTTAAATGAAAATTAATCCCAGTCCAGAGGCTGTGGCTACCCCGTTCCCGCAAATGTGTTTGCTTTGAAAAATGAAACTGCAAACGAATAATTGCTTGTGGAATTTCTCACGTAAATGATTCGTTTACCTTGCAAACCGGAAAAACATGTACGACTTTTCAATTAAGTCGAACTGAGGGGGTTCTCAGGGGAAGGGACTGTACAAAAAATAATGCCAATACTTTCAAAAATATCCCCTATCATTCCACTTGTCCTCTGTCAATAAAATGCGTATTTCTCAGGGCTTGGGGGTGGAAATACATAAATCTAAAATTCCAAGCGCCAATAAATTTTCATTTTGATAAACCCCCATAAGCCTTTTCATGGCCGAAAACAAACTTCTGTGATTTATGAAGTTCTCGGCTACTGCTCGACTCCTTGGGCAATAAAACACAGAGTCCCATCACTGCCATCTATGGACACGATACAAAACTTTTGGCTTATGCCGAGCTTCTCCCGCATCCTCCGCTCATTTTCGAACCCATAAGTATACCGATTTTAAAGACTCAATTCTCACGACCGAAAAATAAATAAGAATCACTAATGTTTATGAGCCGAACGAGTGTTTTTCTGGCCATAAAAACCTAAAAGTTTTTGTCGCAAATAAACCGAAGCGTCGATGAGCGGCATATATTTTTAGTGTTTCGTAAAAAACCAGAACAAAACCAAGTTCAATAAAAACTGTTCGTCTGTTAATACAATTTTCATAAAAATCATCCATTTAAATTACAATAAAAATGGGTTTTTTCGCAGTTCGGTCACAGCTTGTCCTGATGTAAATCCATAAACAAAATGAGACATGTTCGCCCTCTAATGTTGCTGATTTTCGCATGCTGCGAGGGTTAGATTTCTATAACGATGGGGGACATGTCATCATGGCTGACATTTGCGTCAGCTGGCGATCAAAGTCAAATTAAATTGAAACAACTTTTCGACGTGGGTCCTTTGCCGCACATATTGCGCATGGAATATGATACTCGCTGCGAACAAAGGGAATTGCTTAGCGCCAATTATAGATTTCGTTTTTTGTCGGTTTACCCGAAACGTGACCAAATAAATTGCGCAAAAAAGTCAAAAAGCTAAAGCTAAACAGTGCAACTGCTTTTTGCCATAATTTTGTTAATGGCATCCAGGCACAATACATGCGATTCCTAATCCCATGATTATTCGGGAATTTATTCACAAACGTATTTATCTAATTTGCATTTACATTAATCGATTGACTTTGGATGTAGGGCTCCATCCATTAATTTATTAATGAGTTAATTAGCGCAATTACTGCGTCGGCCAACACTGCGTATGCGCGATGCCCCAAGCGGCGAAAGGTAGTTTCCTAATTCAGTTGTCTAGACAATGTCGGCCACTCGATACAACTTCCAAAGGAAGGCCTATAGGTGGTTTATCCATGGCACTTCGCTCTGCGTTTACTTCTCCTGCTGTTTCCTCGATCTGGGCTCATTCCGGTATGTTCAAAAGGATGAAAGGCTAAGGAAACATAGCACATTTTGGCAATGGATAGCCATAGCTATGTGCATCAAACTGGGCCTGCTCTGGCTGGAGTTTCCATTTGTTTTGATTTGCTTTGGCTGGTTGTACTTGTTGCTAATCGGAGACTCCAGCGAGTTTACTGAAAACAATACCTACTACTGGGTACACTTGGTGGCCATAATCGTAATATCCAGTATATCCACCCTGCAGTTGCTGTGGCTCAGCCATAGCTCAGCCTACAGTGCCCTTGTTGTATCCATAGTTAACCGAGTGCTTCATATAAACCGCATTGTGAGGAGGAATTTCGGGGATGAGCACTTCTACTCTGACGACTCGCTGGTTCTGCTCTTTCTGCTGAAGATGGTCCTGACGCTACACCACATTCTGGCTCAGTATAGGCCACACGAAAAGAATATGATAGGCGTTCGATATCATACCGTGAATGTGATCCTTTTCGAGATATTTTACTGCTCCTACATGTTGTATCAGTTGCTCTTTCTGGGCTGGCAGCGGACCTTGCTGGCCTTCCTGGAGTCCTACATCGCACTTGTAAAGGATAGAGGTTCTCCCACCCCGGATTACTACCGCAAGGTGATAGACGTATTCGACATTTATACCCAAATGGCAGGCATTCATTTCCGGGTGTCCAGTGCTTGGCTAAGGGTTTCCTCCATGTTGTTCGTCAGCTTGTATTACACGGCCCACGAGGCCACCTTTACCTTTTACTGTTTATTCGCCATGTCCGAGATACCCTTATTTACCCGAGCCTATTTGGTAATCCTAAACAAAGTCGGAACTTGTCTGCATCCACTCGTTGCCGTTCTGCTGATGGGTATGGCCAGTGATCGATTAAAGCACTTTGAGGCTCAGCTCTGTGAGAAGATCTTCCTTATTGAGTTGCTTCACTCAGAAGACGATCATTTGATTCTGCAGCAGTTTGCCAGACTCATCAGCTGCAAGGTGAGTTTGTAACTAATTATTATTTTTTAGATTAATTAACTTTGTAGTAATACCCTCACAGTATCGGAGCTTCCTGCTGCAACAACACTCATTTCCCATTCGTAACTTCATCTGGAACAGGGGGTCCATCTGTGATCGGGATCTGGTTTTTGACTTCTTCGTTTATCTCATCATCAATGCCACTACGTATCTGCAGTTTTTGATTGGTGATAATACCAGCATATGTGAAGAAGCACTGTGAATAAGGAATATAATAAATAATATTAATGATAACATAGATTTCGTTGTAAATTTAATAAAATTGAATTTATTAGTAGAAAGACAATACAAGACATCTTGTCCTTTGTTCTTTATCCCTTGAAGTCAAAGTCAAAATTCTGAAGTCAACTAGCTGAGTCATAAGATTGATAACTTGACAGAATATTCCAACTGAAGGGCGGTTAAATAGAGTGCCACAAAACGTAGCTCCAATCAGTTGCAATATGAAATCCTTGGAGTGTCTAACCCGTCGTTTTCTGGCCGGAGCATTCTGGCTAATGGGCTTGCTACCGCTGCCACCGACTTCCCAGCTATATTGGCTTATTCTGTCACTCGGAATTCGATGCTTTTGGATAGTCTATATATCCTATTTGCTGAGCGTCGGTTTTAGCTTCAAATCGGTAGCCATTGAGAGTGTCGGAAATGTGGTGGGCACTGCCTTGTTCATGGGCAACTCCGTTCTGGGTCTAATGCTCCTCCTGGAGAGTGTGCTGAAGCAGAGGACTCACACCCAGCTGGAGGATTTGCGCTTTCAGTCAGATTTGCAGCTGCAGCGGCTGGGAATGTTTGGAAGACGCCGCCAGGCAGGATACCTTCTGGCCTTGATAGGTACCCAGCTCATTTGCGATCTTGTGAGAGTAGCCATCAATGATTCGGGTGTGGTATCGCCCGTTTTCTTCATTTCCCTGCCCTTGTCATGGCTGCTTCGCTTTCGTTACGTTCAGCTGGTGCAGCACGTCATGGATCTGAACCAGCGATCTCTCCAACTGCGACGCTCCCTGCTATCGCTGGCCTCCGGCAACGATCTCTGGCAGCCGTACGGAGTGCTGGAGTGCCGCCAGCTTCAGACCCTTCGCACCACCTATGAACGGATCTTTGAGTGCTACGAGGCGCTCAGCGACTGCTATGGATGGGGCATGCTGGGACTCCACCTCCTGACCAGCTTCGAGTTCGTGACCAACGCCTACTGGATGCTCACGGGCCTGTACAAGAGCCAGGACCAGAACCTACTGAGCCTTATCTTCAATGGAGCCACCGCCATTGATTTTGGAACTCCGATTGTCACTTTATTTTGGCACGGCGACGCGGGCGCTGAAAATGTAAGTTAAAGTTATTGTTTAAGAGGTGCTTAGCCCCAAGACTTAAGTGGACAATCAATCAGAGTCAGTCCCTGACCTCGCTCGATACATGAGTCTGCCGAATCAGAGCTAATTAACAATGACAATGATGAATTGGCAGTAAGCTAAGTACTCCTTGGGCCTCGTTCCTGTCAGTAGCCATGTTTCCACTGACCAGATTACAAGTGACCTCGCGTGCTGTCCTCAAGTTGCTTCACCTTGTCCTGGTGGTCTTCTCTTTGAGTCCCAGTCGATTGCCACGTCCGATTCTGTGGATTCGTCTTATTGGTTGGGTAGCCTGGTACGTTTTCATCTGGATGCGGAGTGTGCATGTGGCTAAGACGACGGACTGCGATCTGGACTGCATGCTGCGACATATGCTGACGGTGTGCGAGACGGCATCGCACGCTTTCCTGGTGGCCAGCACATTCATCCAGGGTTTTCGCAACAGTCAGGAGGAGCAGCCGGGTGAAGTGACCATATTCCAGGCCTCAGATCCGTGGGTTGCCTTCACGGTCCTGGCGATGCTAGCGCCTATGTTTGGAGTTCAGTATATGGTGTGCTCCAATATTCCTGACTCTGAACGTCGCGTCTGGCTTTATCACCTGAAAACTCTGCCCAGCTTCTTGGCTCTGCAGCTGCAGATTGTGTCCTTTATCTCAGAGGTAATGGAGGTGAACATCCGAGTTCGTTTGGCCAAGCTTCAACTGGTAATCCTGGCCAGGGAACTGTCCAGCCGTTGGCCTCAGTGCAAATATCAACCAGATTTCTTGGATCGGCAGAGCTATCGAATCGAAGCCCTGAAGCGTCGCTATAACGAACTCCACCATCTGTACGATCGGATTAACGACTGCTTTGGTGTTAGCCTGCTCATCATCATTATTGTTTTTTTCGCTGACTTTGTGTGCAATTCCTACTGGCTCTTCGTAGATGTTCGAACCACTTCGAAGAGTCGAGTTAATGCCATTCTGGTCAAAATGGGGTTTATTTTCAATGTGGCCCTGCAGATGTCGTCAGCTTGCTGGCACAGTCAGCAAAGCTACAATCTTGTGAGCAGATTTTCCTTGTACTTATTTTTATTTGTGTTTAATAGAAATCATTTTTCTTTAGGGTCGCCAGATCGGTTGTCTTATTTCCAAGTTGGTGAAACCTCAGGGCAGCAAGCGATACAATGAGCTGGTGAGCGAGTTTTCCCTGCAGACTCTGCATCAACGCTTTGTGGTCACCGCCAAGGATTTCTTCAGCCTCAATTTGCATCTTCTCAGCAGCGTAAGTAAATGTATTTATTTCAGATTTTAAAATTATTAATTATAGAGTTAATTTAGATGTTTGCAGCTGTAGTCACTTATCTGGTCATCCTTATACAGTTTATGTTTGCTGAGAGGAGCGCAGGTGGTCATTCGGGTTAAGTATCTCTAAAGGTTTTAAAAGTAATTTTAAAATATATTATCTTAAAGATGTAATCGACTTTAATGGACAACTATAAGAACCACACAAAAAAAATATATAAAATGTATTAATTCTTCTTCTTGAAATTGTAAAACAATGTCTTTTAATAATGGTATGTATTTATTTATATTTATAAATAAATATTTCATGGCTATAATATTGCAGGCTATCTTTATTTTCTATAAAATACAAATTTAACTTCCACATCACCCACATCCCATCATCCACCTCCCCCTTTGGGGAAAGTTTGCAGCCCCTAATAGAACTATTTAAATGTTCGATGATTTAATTATGAAGCAAACACACACACAACCCAAGAACTGTCTATCTTTGTCACAGCTTCCCACCATAAGTGTGTGTAGCTGGAGAGTATAACCCTAATTATTTATGCCGCCCACGACTTGGGAATGGGTCGGCTCTCGGTGCTGAGCAGGGCTGCTGCGGGGGGGCTGGAGCTAAAAGTTAGATTGCGCAAAGTTTTATCTTCGCTTTCTTAAGCGCATTTTACAAGGGAAAGAGGATGGGGAAGGATGAAGGATGTAAGGGGGCGGTGGTGGGCAAAACTACTTCACGCATATTAAACTGACATTTCACAAGCAGAAAACTTTTTCTAATATGCAAATTCATGCCAAATACCAGGCAACGGGATAAAACAGCCGCACATCCTTGAATTAACACGTGCGAGTTCGCATTAATTTGTGTAAACTGGTGTTGGAACTGCTCGGGGTTAGGCGGAGGATATATACACATATACACTATGTAGTAAGATCCGCAGATGGCGGAGAGCAGTTTTTGTCGTTAGCTATGCAAATGCCGAGCCATGTAAATAATATTTACCACACTGGCAGATGCTCAAGATGTAACTGTGCCGCCACTTCTGGCCCCGAATTAGCATATAACAACTGCAACAGTCGCTTATAAATATTTATGAGCCGACTGGATTAGCACTACGGCTGTGTACATAATTTTTTCAAATATAATTTTTACAAGATTTTGGTAAGACTTGTTCCACACTAATTAGTAATGGGAAGTGGTCTTATAGCCTTATATCAGGGAACGTACATAAGAAATAATTTCGAACACTAAGAATAGTTTTCTCATATTTAATAGGTATTTCATTTTATTAAGAGTTATTCGTAGTAGTTCTTGAATATGTTTATCATATACAGATGTGAAATATTTAACTCATTGTGTACGTATGTATATATATTTTTAAAACTCTCAAAGATTCAATACCAAACAGTCAAGCTCCCTTCAAGACGGTTATGCAATCACCATTTAAGTTTTCAGTTTCGTGATGAGTAAAATTTAGTGAATTATTAGCCAATCCAACTTTTTGGACTAATAGAAACTTGCATGCATGAATATTTTATCCACTTTACAAACTGTTCAACTTTTTTGATGAATTTTCAATTTGAAGGCGGCTTTGTCTTCACACACAGCCCAAGGCAGCGAATCATTTTTTGGTCATAGTAAAGGGGGGAATTAGGGAAGTTTTTAAATATTCATAAAATTTGAACAGACAGGGAACTTTCAAAATGAAATTAGTCAAATGAACAAAAGTTCATTTACACTCCGTATACGAGGCTCGATTGTCCATACTTACAGAATCCATTGTGAGTCCAAGCCCCAAAAGTTGGAATAAATTACTAATTAATGCAGGAGAGTTTCCATAGTGGGCCATGTGTGTGTTTGTGCCGCCCCCTTTCGCATTATTCAGGCCCCTGTTTTATGGTTGGCAATCTATTGCGATTTGTTGGTTCGTTGGAAAATATGGTTTCCCCCTCTTTTTGTCATGCTCTTTCTGCATTGGTCGCAGTGTGCGAAAGCGAAATTGAAGTTTTATGCTAATTTCAGCATTCCATCCTGCTCCCCCGCTCCCACTGTCCTGTCCTCTCATCTGGTTGAGCTTAGGACCTTATCTAGTTGTCGAGTCCTGTCAACACAAGGCATTACAAGGCAATTACGAATTTGTTTATGGCTCGGAATCTTCTCGTCGACTTGCCACTTGGCCACAAAACTCGTAGATCTATCTGGCAGACCAGAGAGACGAGACGCATATTCCAAACCTAGAAAAAATATTGCAGATCTTGATTTACTTTGAAAGTGAATTTACATTTGTGGATGCAATCGTCTTGGGTGTGTCAGTCAAGGTAACTTAGAAATTTGTTGCTACAAACAAAACCAAAACTTTTAGTTTTAAAAATAAATAAATAAATCTTACAATTAGATTTCTGTTTATAAATAAAAAGTAAATAATATACTATATAGTATACAGATTTTTTTCTAAATTAAAAATTAGCTTTTACTTTATATACCCGACTGACATATCCATATACAACCCAATCCCATACGCAATAACTTCACAGCTTTATACTCTCGTCCAGCTTCAGCTCCATTTTCAGCTCCATCTCCCAGATGAAGAATTTAATCAAGAACCACTCGAATTTGTTGGGGACACATGTACTATAAGCGTACACATGGCCCATAAGTCAAGCCTAATAAAATTCCACTCTGCCAAATTCGAACGACAAAAGTAATCTCCCAACTCGCCCAGGCAGGAGCCCGGTGGTGGTCCTGGTGAGTGGGGTGAAAAAGTGCGTCACTTAAAACTTTTGCACTCACTTGACCAGAAACTTTTATTTTCTGTTAGCAAATTTCCCACGGGTAAACCGAAGAAGTAACAAAATGTATATGTATGTACGGAGCGAGGCGTCTTGGCGAGCGAAACTTTTTCCGTGACCACAAATTGAAAATATTTCCCAGTCATATTTAATTTTGGCAGATCCCTTGCCATGCTCCAAATGTAATCTCCGAGGTAATCAAATATGGTTAGAAGGTCGGATATACGCATTTAATTACTGAGGATGGGAATGGGATGCTCGAAGGCAGGCGGACCGGAAACCGATCTGGCTTGAATTTCAGGCTTGTTGACTCGTCACCTTCAAGGCAGGGCAATAAAAACGGAAAAGTCTACGACGACGACAAAGGAAAATAATGAGGGCAGGGAAAAGGGCAGGCGGGAAAAAAAAGAGGAAAACTATATAAATAATTCAGTATAAAATGTCAGGAGCACTGGGAGGGCCTTGGCCGGGGCAACAAAGATGTCTCGGCAAGTCTTCGTCTCTCAGATGCAGTCAAGGAAGCAATTGTACTGTCTGACTGCTGTTTTCCACTTTAGTTTGCCACGCCCACTGCACACTTCAATCTTCCCGGTGCCTTGCCCACCGCCGTCACCCTGAATCCTTCGTCCTCCGTCCGCTGGTAACTTGTTGACGTTGATAGTCGTACGTGCCGAAGGTGAATGGCATCTGTGGACGCGAAATTGAATTCGTGCCTGGCAGTTCCCGTTCCCGCACAACAGGATTGAGTCGCACTGGGACAAGATCGGGAATGGGTCTGGAGCTGGAGCCGGCCAGGATGTGTCAGGTGGCTTTACCTGCTGACTTCAATATTTTGTCGCATTACGTTGACAATTTAGATGTTTGTCTCGCGCATTCTCGCAGGATTCAATTTGGAGCGAATGCAGCCCGTCAGCCAGGCCAGCCGGGGAAATCTGCAAAGTTAACAGTAAGCCGGTAAGGGAAAAACAGATCTCGGAAAAACGGGCGCTTCTCCGGGGATTGGGATTGGGATTGAGTTTGGGTTGGTATGAGACTTCGGGCTGGTCTTGGTCCCCTCCAAATGTGAATGCTTACATAAAAATCAGTCGGCTATGGCCTGGCCCAGTCATTCATTAGAGTTGTAATGTCCCTTCTAGCCCAGCAAATATTCTCCGCAAAAATGGGTCTTTATAGTTGAGTTTACACATATGAGTGGCAACTTTCAGATGCTCTATTTGTGGATACTGATTTTATTTTCACTTTTGATTTTCATACCCTTGCAGGGTATTATAATTTCAGTCAGAAGTTTGCAACGCAGTGAAGGAGACGTTTCCGACCCTATAAAGTATATATATTCTTGATCAGCATCAACAGGGGAATCTTTCTAGATATGTCAGGAATAAATCGATTTTTTGGCCATTTTTGCAAAATTTTATAAGGGGCTACATTATTAAAATTTTGGATTTTGATAAAAAAATTGAATTTTCAAAATTTTTAAATAAAGTATGCAGATTTATTAACTTTAGAATATCTTGCACAGAACAGTTTTCCGATTTAAAATTAATGCTCCTTTGGCCGAGTTATAATATTTTCAATTTAAAAATAAAATCAATAAGTTTTTTAATATAAAAAATCCGATTTTATAATACAAAATAATATTTTTCTAAGTCAAGGAATCATTTCCGACCCCATAAACCATATATATTCTTGATCAGCATCAACAGGGGAATCTTTCTAGATATGTCAGGAAGAAATCGATTTTTTGGCCATTTTTGTGAAATTTTATAAGGGGTTACATCATTAAAATTAGCAAAAATGGCAAAAAATTTTGATTTCTTAAAATTTTAAATTTGGTATGCAGTTTTTTTAAATTAATAAAAACTAACGCAAAACTGCTTTCCGAATCGAAATTAATTTTTGGCTTAGTTATGATATATTTTAATTATTACCTACAAGGGTATACAAACTTTGGCTGCGCAAAGTTAGCTTTCTTTCTAGTTATTATTTAAATTACTTACAAAAATAATGGTTCTAAAATATTTTCTTTGAAATATTTTCTATTGAATAAATGATACTTTAACCTGTGTTCTATAAAGATAATAAATGTCTTGTATTATTTGAATAAAACTAATTATAAGTTTCAAAGGTTTAACTGAATTAAATTAGTGTTTCTTTTTAATAATAATAAAGAAATAAGGTTACAGTTATCTACAAAAAAAAAACAATGAAATATTATATTTAAAATTAAAAACAAATATATTTACTACATACATTTTCTGCATACGCCGTATGACATATGATATGCAGAGTGCCTGATCTGGGTCGCAACCAACATGAGCACTCACTTGCTTGGTTGCCTTCAATTTGTGTCCGCAGCTTCGAAATACTCTTTCCGCCTCTGCCCCCCCCTCGAGTATAAAAATTGCAACAATTCTATTTTTTTGTTTTTGCTCTAAAAATGTCACATTTGGGGGATGGGAAAGGGAAAGGGAAAGGGTCCTTTCTTCTGCCAACCCCCCCTGAGATTGTAATGTGAATGTCGCTGGCAGCTAACCCACCGCCCCATTCACCCCGAGTTGGCATTTCATTGTTGTGCTTTTCCATTCCCATTTTATTTATATAATGTGTCTCGAATGTGTGTGTGTGTGTCTGCGTGAGGAGGGGTGTTGGGTGTGCGGCTGTGCGAGAGTTTTTCTATCAAAGCGCAGGAAACACGTGCGGGTAAAACATTTTTCAAGCTTTTAGCGCTGCATACAAATCAACCCCGAAAAGCGAAAAACAAAACAAAAATATATATATATCCCCATTCGCAATAATTTGTTGAACTTCATAAGAGCCAGTGCTTTGGGTTAGTCGAAGCGCAGCTGATGGCAGCTGATGGTGTGGTTCTTGGCTCAGCCCTGCCAGCTGTTGCATTATGTAAAACCGCCGGCGTAATAGAGCCGAGAATGTGGGAAAAGTTGTAGATGCAGGGAACAGGCTAACAGCAGACGAATGTCAGTAATTGCCGGCGTCTGAAATGGTATTAATACTCTCAATACCCTTGCTAAGGGTACTTGGATTTTGCAAAAAAATTTTAAGTGAAAAAAACCTTAGATATCGTCACCGGATGAGACGATTTAGATATGGGATGAATTTATTAAAATATTTAGAGCAAGGGGTATTTGCCTTCCACAATTAAGCTACCTTTTTTAATTTTATAATAATTTAGTATTATACAATATTGCCATCTCTAAAAACTCTTACCAGAACTCTTAGGGTATACAGTTTTCGTATTGTTAGCCTTCAATTCTTTCTCTCGCAGCCTAATTGGGTTTTATATTATTTAAAGCACTTACTTATCAAACTTCATTTCCGTCTTCTTGACGCAGTGAGTTGCATATGCGAATGTGCCCATTAAAATGCCACAAATGCAAATTAATTTAATTGAATCCAATTTGGCATTCATATTATCTTTTCCATTGTTTCCTTAATTTAACAATTGCCAGAGAGAAAGAGAACGTCAGGAAAATAAGAGGGCAAAGCAGTTGAGCCGGGTGGAGCAGTGGAAATTGTGCGGGCAGGATTAAAAACATAGTGGATTTAATCCCGATTTATAAATTAACGCTAATTTGCGGTCTCACAAAGTAGAAAGTTTGCCGGAGACTTCACAGCTTATTAGTGGCTAGAGAGAGGTTTTTTTACGGCTGATGAATTTGAAAGTCAAACAATTTAATAATTGTAATAGATTTTCCAATGATTTATGTTTTCAGCACAATGTTGCTCTAAAGAAAGCTTAACTACAAAACAAAGCCATTAAACTGTCCATTTATTACTTCTGAAATGCAGCAGCACTTCGTCAGCAATTAAAAGCTAGTATCCTTCGCTTACAATATTACCTTTATGTCAAAGAAAATTAAATGCATCTATTGTTATTGTTTTAATGAAAGCATTCACTTGTAATGTCTGACAATTTGTGCTTTTATTGTTTTTGAAATATTCCAATTAACACAATTTTCACATCAGAGCTCAGTGTTTGATGGAAAATCATAGTTCAAAAATTTTTATAAACTAAAATACAATTTGAGATCGACAATATATCTCCAAAAATATTTTAATGAATATATATTAATTGATTTTAGCAAATTGTTTTTAAAATTGTAGTATAAATCATTATATTTAATTAATTTTTTCTTAATTAGGAAAACAAGTATTGCAATTTAGCGAATTGTATTTCTATCATTTGTGTTATATTTAATAGCTAGTTTGTCTTTTTTGAATATTCAATGTAGTAGAGTATGAAAAGAAAAGCAACTAGTTACTAAATGTAATAAAAATCACAGTAGTTTTTCGTATATATATTATAAATAATACATACATTTTTTAGAAGCTATAATCAAAATAGCTTATAAATTTCTCAGAGTTCCTTTAACTAACCTACATGTCTATATTTACTTTACAAGAGATATCGTTTTTTCAATGTTAAAGTTAAACTCTATTAACAACAGATTTATAGCAAGAGGGGCTACTTTTAGCAGGCAGTGTCAGTACTTAACAGCGGATAAAAAATGTTATTAACAAGACCAGTAAAAACTGTTTACTTCTAGTGATATTTAAAACTGAAACAATTTCTTAAATTTAACTTATAGAGTAATAAAAATACAAAAAATATAATATATTTTATAATATTATATAAAATATTGTGTCTTAAATATAATAAATATTTCAAAATAACGCCAAACTGTTGCTTCTTTTAACAGAACTCGAGCCTGAGACTTCAAAACTCACCATTCTGGAGTTATCAGCGGCGTAACAGGGAAAGAGCAAGCGCCTGCGCAGTCACGGCCTGAGTCACGAGTGGCAAACGGGGATTCCCGAGTGCCACTCAGCCGCTCTCCGGCTCCAGCGAGTACCGCTATCATTGGCGGCGGAAACTGCGGCCGCTCGGCTCACTCGCTGCTGCCGCTGGGACCGCCTCTGCCACCGCTGCTGCCGGCGCTGCAGCAACACTCAGTCTGCACTCGAGTCGCGTGGCGAACACTCGTCCACCTCATCGTTGTCGTCCTCGTCGTCGTTCGGTTCTCGGATTTCGCCGGCTCCCAAAGTCACGAGTTTACGAGCTTAGTGGGCGGTGAATCTCCCTGCCGGCACCGAGCCCCCCATGCAAATAGTACGTGTGTGTGCGCATATAGACTGCAACATAAATTAAATCGAATTAAATCCGCACAAGACTCAAACTAAAGTCGAAATATTACAATAATTGCCCAGTTACTGTTGCGTGTGAGTGTATCTGTGTGTGTGTGTGTGCTTTTGGGGCGACATCTGTTGTCTGATTTCCGCTTTTTCCTGGTTTTCCCGGCTTTTCTTCATACCGAAACTTTAATTGTGTCGTTGTGCCAAGTTCGTGACTTTAATATAAATAAATAATTTAAAGGTAAGGCCAGTGATAACTCTAAACTAGCAATAAGATATTAAACATAATGATATGTTTGATAAATATTTAAAATCGAAATCAATTGAAGCGATAAATACTTATAATAAATATTAAATTTTTAATAATAATAATCATAAGAGAGTTTCACTGTATTCAAGACTTCTTTCTGCAATTCCGAAACTTGCCATAATTCTCTTCTGATAAGATATAATATAATTAAATTAAATCAAGTTATGTTTATAAATATCAAAATTTATTGCCTGTTCTCCGGGGAAGTTGACAATATTTCATGCAAACCATAAGACACATTTAATGTTAAAGCTGTTTGACTTTCACTCGGCACGGCACATCCTGTGCAATTTAAAGTCGAAAGCAATTTTAAATTTATTACAAATATACCAAGGCATGGATGGAATTCCATTGGATATGCGCATCATAAACAACGTCCAGAACCGGAACAGACAGCATATTAAAAATGTGACTATAACCTTGGCTTACACGGTGGCCCAGTCCGCCTTCTGCCCTTCGGTGGCTCCAACGTCCTGGTAACCGCACCAAGGCCACAGCCAGTCACGGGCAATGCAATAACGCCAGACAGTGGTGCCTGACTGCTGCTATTGATGCCAAAAAGTATCGGAGTTGAGCAGTCGAAGATTTATATCTATGTATACTTTTCCTTCCCATCTCTAAAATCTAAAAATAAAAAATTAATAATACCTTAAAAGTAAAAGCAAACTTTTTAAAACTTTATATTTTTCTGCTCAAGACCTCTGAAATTCAGCAATTTCAACGTGAAATCAACAAAGACTGCAGCACTGACAGCAACTTTGGAGGGAAGCTGTATGTCTGTGCGGATTGTTGTGCACTGCGGCCTCGTTGTTTGTTATTTGTAATTCTTACTGTACACATGACAATAACGCCAGCGGCAATGGGTGGAATAGCTGCATCCCCCCAGCCTTGTATCCATGGCCATGGTCTGCAGCTACCCCAGCGAAGGCGTGACGGCATGCAATGCATTCTCGGAGGAGGCGGATGCTGACACCCAGAACCCACTGCGACGGCTGAATCCTTCCCCGGATCGGCCAGCTTGGTGCTTGTGCAATAGTTTCAAGTGGCCGGGCAACTTTTTCCATTATGAATGGTGCGGTTGCGCTTTTTTCCATCCATTATTTACGAGTTTTGAGTGCAAACTTGTTTCGCCAGCAAACAAGTGGCGGCCAGAGGATTAGAACACTTGCCCGACCGCTCGGGCTCTGGCTCTGGCTCTGCTATGGCAATGGCTTTGGGATTGGGTATCCCGGGGATCGGGGCTAAAGTGGAGACCTGGAACTAAGTGCAAAAGTTTCTGCCATAAGCCAAAGACAAAGCCAGTCTCATTCGGCAGAAAATGGTTCAAATTGGAGAAAGAATTTGATACCATTCAATTACTCGATTGTCCAAGGAAACTTCGTACAATATTTATAGGGTACTTTTGACAGGAAATTGCAACAGGATATTTATTTAGCCATTTGTTTTACAAACTTTGTTGTGAGGTAATGAGTTTTTAATTAAAAATAATAGGTCTACATTTAATGGGGATATTTTTCTATATATTATTTAACCAAATATAAATCTATCCTGCTGAAAAAATTCTAAATTACTGGAACATTTTTAGACAAATCCAGTAGGTGATTGAAATTCTTTTACTGAAGATTCAGATCTTGTCAAAAATAAAAGTAGAAATATGTTGAATATGTTTAAATCTTAAAGAGATCACATTAAATATGAAATTATAATTATTATATATTCATGGTTAGGGGGGACTTCCTTCTTTCCTAAAAATCCAAATGTCTAGAATCTCAAAAGTGATGCTATCCCCCTTATTATGCCATACAGAATGCCAAAGTTTTTTCGGCACCAATATATATGTGTGTGAGATCAAGTTTTATGCTCTTGTTCACCAGCTTTTGTGGACTGCAATTTTGATAAAAAGTTTTGGCCATGTCTGGCGATGGGTCGATGCATTTATGCGTGTGCATAATTTTCAAAATCACTTGAGTATTTTGCGAAACAAAGTCTGAAGTTTCGCCAACTTGTTTCACGCACTTTCCGACTCCGGGTGCTGCATGCACCCCCGGAAAGGCCACCCATCCAAAGCCACCCCCTCCTATCAAACGTTAGGCCTTCGCAATCTGCCGCCATACACAAGTTCTCTCGTGCGGAGAGAGAATGTTCTGCATTCTCTGACATTGATAAATGATTTTCCCCCCGAAAGTTTAGCAGAAGAAAACCCAAAACAAGTGGGCGGGCGGGGTGGTAGTGTGGCTGCAAAATGCATTCATGGCAAGAAAATTGTTGTTGCTCACTAAACCGTGAACCGAGAACGGAAAACTCTGCACCGAAAAAAAAATGCAGCTAGACCCTAGAAGTCAGCAGAGGCAACCTTAAAGTTTAATTAATTGATGAAAATAACTGAGAGATTAATTTTGAATGTTTATTTACAATAAATATAGACAGTAATATATTTTATAAATAACATGTTTAATTAATATCGAAGCCTTAATTGAAATGCTAATTAATAAAAAGCTCACAAAATGTTTACAATTGTTTTCTGTGTGAAAATGTGCCTGGCAAAATTATCGCAGCTCTGCATACTGGCTCCTCCAGTGACAAGCGCAAAAAGGCAGAGAGACGGAGAAGGTGGGGAAATCATAAATAAAATATGGAAGTGCATGGGGATATAGCCAGTATATATGTATATAGAGGCTGGTTCTGGTGCTTGTGCCCAATTTAATTATCCTCGCCAGCCGAAAGAAGTGGCCAGGCCAAGAAATTTCATTCACTTAAAACTCTGGAGCGAAGTTCTTCGAAGCGAATGCAAATGAAAAACCACAACGCATGCTCAAGCCGAGTTTTCAGTTTGAGTTTTCCGCAATTTCCCAGGCTCCAGTCCCCAGTCTCCAGTCGCACTCCCCAGTTCCCGCTTTTCCCGGCGCCCAGTTCAACATGTAATTAGAGTGCGAGGAATGCGCGCGGTTGCCAAAAATGTTGTGGCCGTGGGGGCTTTGATGTACATATAGCAATATTCTTACATATATAAGAGCCTTGCCGCCGTAGCAAGATGTAAATGTAAGTATTTCGGGCTGCAGGAGCACATCTGGCTGGCCGCAAAAGTTCAAGTTTGTTGCTTGTCTGCCGCCGGAGTCCTGCCTCGAGTGGCATTGCCGGGGCGGCCACTTGCGCAACTTGTGTGTAAATTGGACGAATGTCCTTACGTCCTCATGTCGATGTGTTGACATCCAAAAGTGCACAAAAACGTCGACGGCAAAAAGTAACAAAAACTGCAAAAAACTTTATTTCAAGTTGGACCCGAGCAAAGCCGTTGGCTGGTGCGGTCAAAACTGACAAAGTTATTCCGTTGCATCACTCTTTTTTAAATTCCTTGCCATTCTTGATTGCGGAGTAATTTAAGTTTTTAATATTACATGCCATAGAAATTGTTATGCATTGAGAGTTTATTAGAGAGGTGACCACAAGTATGCAATGCGTTTTTTAAGGACCTTTGGTGGGGTTTAAGAGATGAGTACAGTGTTAAAGGATCGAGGATTGTGTAGCAGAATCATTGTCAAATATGGATAGCTACGAAGTGGAGTGACTTGGCCTGGCATCATGCTTTTGCAGCCTTTAAGCATCCAAATTAATATAATATTTTCAAAAATGTATTTGTTAACTGTGACATTTATCACAAATCCAGCCGCGAAAACTTTAAGCTGATGGCTCATCCATCAAAGAGCGCTCGAGCTTTGATTCTCCTCAGTCATTTAAAACGCACGCGAAACTCATCATTAATTTCCTGCACATCGGCCATAAATGTTGGCTAGTTTATGCCCATATTGTATCGGGTAGACTGCCCGGAATAAATTGCTTTTGAAATTTCTGCTCTTTGTCCATAAAGAAAGGGGAAAAGCTGAAACGCATTCCGCTCGTTCGCATTATTAACGCACATAAAACTCGCATATAAAGTGATTTAAATTTATTAAATATAAAACGCCACCGCAACGCACAAACCCCCCCGACCCGTCCGGCCCAAAGATGTGAGCGCATAACAATTGCAATAAAATTTAACGTGCATCGATAAAAAGAATATCAAACCCAATAAAAACAACAACAAAGCGGGATCGCTGCCGCTCTGGAGAAGAGAACTTCATTACTTGTTTGAATGAATGAAAAAGTTTAAAAAAAAAAGAAAATCACGAAAATACAAAATGTGGGGAAAACAAAAGGAGCGAATGTGATGGAAAAACCCCACAATGGGCCTCCCAGGATGCAAGGGGTCCTGCTGAATGGGGCTGTCGGGCTTTATGCATTCAACAAATGAAGCGAATGAGTCGGAGCCATCAACAAAGGCGAACGTTAAATGTTTTATATTTAAGAGCTCGCCAAACAACCGATATGTGAGCGACTGACTATAACCATTTTTCTACTCGGCTCGGTTGGCCTCGTCATGAATAATTATGATTTTCAATTTAAAGAACATTTTCACACGCACACAGGCACACACAGCCCGTTTAATTGCTTTTTCTTTTCGAAACTTTAATCGATACGAAATTGACTTCTCGTTGTCCGATCAAAAATTGGATTTAAACTTTAAAGCAAGTTTAAGGCTGCTTCAAGGAAAACAGGAAAATTTCCCATTTCAAAGAAGAAAATAATCCAATTGCTTGCAGATAAAATCTCTCTCTCTCTCTCTCTCAGTTGATATGTGAGAAAAAACAACAACTCGGTGAGCAAATAAAAACTGGGAATATCGCCATCACCCCTATTTTGGCCACTCAATGCATAATTTATGCGACAGGCGGTAATGTTATTATTCCAAATCAGGCAAAAATATTATTGCATTTCCGACACACACCAGCGCACCAGTATATATGAATATAATTTTAATGCAGCACTGCATGAAAATGGATGGAATGAAAACGTGGCTAATTTCCCTTTTCGCCTCTAAACGAAATCAATGGCAGCTGTCAACACGCCAAGCGCCCGCTCCATTATTCCAGTATACGAGTTCGAGCTCAATAAAAATAATAAATAATAGAAAAATGCGCATAGAATTGCCAGAGGGTGGCAGCGGAAAATGTGCGTGACACTCAGACAATTCTTGGGCTTTCGGGGCTCCCAAAAGAAAAATACGGAAATAAAAGAGACTTCCATTCATTGGGGACAAAGTAAATAAATATGAAGACAAGGATGAACAAATATACAAATAATATTTGGGGATTAAGGCTTTAAGGATCCATATATGCTATCTGTCTTTCATAAATATCAGAATAATGATGTGAATTCATTAGATTATAGTTTATATCAGTTCTAATATTAATTAAAGGGAAAAGAGAGTCTGAGTTAGGGTGTCCTTTCGTCGTTAGGTTTTTGAGAATACCCATTCCAATATAGATTTTAAAATGTCCTCTCCGAGGTCCTTTGTATTTATTGACTACGACATTTATATGCCACCCAGCCAGACATATGCGCATTTTCACATAATAGACACTCGCGCCCAGACACAGATGTGTGCGTGGAAACGAGGAAAAGCCTGACAGGAGCGGGGAATTTCAGCGGTTGACATCCTGACAAAATTGACAGGAGCAATGGCTTCCGATACTGGTGGCTGGCAGGCAGGCCGGGAGAACAAACGAGGCTGAAAGCCTTTCACTAATTAGGCAGCACATTTTCAATTAGGAGCGGCAAGCACACACAAAACCAAACAACGCTCTACAAAATAACCAGCGAAAGTTTCTGGGAAAAATAGAAACGCATTCTATATTAATGAATCGAAAATAATTGTCTGACATCAAACAACAAACAACAGCAGCGCAACGTCAGAGATATTTAATAGCCAGCCACAAAATAATTACCCCGAAATAATTTACTGCGAATTAGAAACAACGGCAAACAAAACAAAAGCGGGCAACTTGCGCAATATAAATTGCAATTTGTTCTTTAATTGGAAATTTGATGCCAATTTTTCCATCCCCGCCCTGCACAGCTTAGCCAGCGAGCAAAGTGAGTTTTTCTCGAAATATTAAATTTCATCAATACGTACCCATTACGCTCAGCATGACCATCATTATTTCTAGAAATAAAATGTGGCCCCCAACGGCAGCTCGGTTTCTAAGGATTGATTTACCGCATAGGGCTGTGCTGGACTTGGACTTGGACGTAGCTTGGGTTAGGGGTGCGTCTGACAGGTATTTTCCATCAATTAGTTGGTGTTCTCGAAGCTGTAACAATTGAAACCAGCATTTCCTGGGAAAACTTGGAGTGTGTTGTATGAAAAATAATGAAAGATTAAAGAGAAAAACAATACAGTAAGCAAGCTGAATTGTTTTTGCTTAGAAATTACAATTATTACCTTGAAAAAAATAAACAAAATATGCAATATTTATAAAATGTCAAGCTCTTTATTTTCATTTAAACAAAAACTAAAATTGAAATTACATAGTCATACTATAATAATTCATTAAATCTGTTCATTTTCATTTAAGCCTTCCTAAAACCACAAATCATAGACGCAAAAAAATCTGCACATAATATTTAACATATAAATATTTCACATTTTTCTTGCAGAAAAAAACATACATGGCCAACGGTTCTGGAAAGGATCAACAGCAATTTAATTAAACCACAAAGAATTCCACTTGATTGCAAAACATAAATATACTGGAAAAACATGAACGTTGCCGATAAAATTCCTTACTTGCATAAAATATGAAATATATCAAATTTTAATATTGCCATTTGCGTTAATTAAACCATGAGCAATTCCAACAGCCGGAGCCGGACAAGCCACTAGCTTAAAAATGCATATTCCCAAGTCTCGACGTCCGAGGTAAGTTCCCAAAATAAACACAAAGTAAATATGAGACTCTTATAAAAGACCAGCACCAGGAAATACAATATTTTCATACAATTATGTGCGCTGGCGGAGCCAGGGAAATTTAATAAGAGCCATGAACAGCTTTCCTACACATTCAAAATATTTTGACAAGTTTTTCAATAATGCAATAAAGTTGCCAACGCGCCCCCAGGCGCTGCCAGTCCCGCGTCCAAGGACACTCCTGATGAAATGAAAATATTGCCCACAATTTGTTAGGTCCTGGCCGAGAACGTGGCCCGTGGAACTAGCCAGGATCCGGTCTTGACTTGGCCATTTGCGGCTACTTGTTTATCTTCCTGCATTACTTTTGCCGCTGCCTCATCTCTTGTTTTCGCCTTGGCCGGAAGAGAGATTTTTCAATAGACCAGAACGCCGGACAGCTGGAGAGCTGAAGAGCCGGACGGGCAACGCATAAACAAATAATAAAAAACAACGCAGGCCAGTGGCAATCGCGACCCTGACAACGACCTTTGGGCCACTCATTTGTCAAGGGGCGGGTACAGTGTGGAGAAGTCCCGGAAAGGAAGCCAAACACCCGCGGCCCGAGGCATTCATCTTGGTGCCATGGCAACCAAGACATATGGCTCCGCTCCTCGCGCTGCCGGTGACCAAAACAAATTAAAGTCCCACTTTAAGACACAACCAACAAATCAAGTCCGCCAAACCAAGCCCAAAGTGAAAAGGCAAGACTTCCTTCAGCATCCTGCCACCCTGCCGGCCAAGGGAGGAGACAATTTTTACAAGATTTACCTGACCGGCATAAGTAATCAGGCTGTGTGTCCATTTTGGGCCAATCGAATTCTAAACTGTCGTCCGAAAACGATTTGGGCACAATACTCAAATCGGGCACTAGAGGGCAAGGACAAGAGACCATCAATCTACAGGCAGGCAGCAGGCTCGGGGGAGTCCCGTTCCTGAAAACGATTTCACAAGAACAAGTTCAATATGGGAAAGTTACTTAGAAAGTGTTTTCAGAAAGTCTGGTTAAGGATTAAATGATTTTGAAGATTCTCTGGGATAAATACGAAATATTTTAGGCCAAAACTATTATAACTAATTTATCACTTAATTCCTATAAAATTTATAATCAGGTGTACACTATATCCTCATTTTAATGTCATATTTCCTGCAACACGCTCATTCGAATGCCATAAAATGCCCCAAAAGGTAGGCTATAAATTCTGAGCGCAAATTAAAGTTTAAGAGTTTCAAGGAACTTGAGCAATTTCCTGACCTGAAACCTCGGCTAGCCGACAATGAAATCGATTAAGCTGTCCATGCCAATGTACCCCATACACACACATTCACATCTAGGTCCACATTCAGGTCTGGATTCAGGTCCACATCCACGTCCACGTCCATGTCCTGGAACAGTTTGCACCAGCAACTCATTAAAAAGCATTAAACGCCAGGAACGGAAGTCATTGGGGCTATCAGTCGGAGACACGCTTCCTTTTCTCTCCTTGAGCGGTGCCTTCTTCTTTGCCAGTGCCTCTCTGGCACAGATTTACGGGGCCAAAAGTGCGTAAAGAAAAAAAAAAAAGGAACGGGCGGAAGGAGGCCTTCGTCCTCCGTCCGGACAGAGATTGTCACCGGGCCAATTGTTCCAGGGCAAGGGAACTTCAAATGATTTATCGCCCGATAGTTGAGTTCAAAAGCGAAACGCAAAGAGGCAGACGGCGAGCGAGGAGGACTGTCGCCCGCACAAATATTTATTTATAAAATTGTTATCCCAACCAAGCAGGCTGAGAGTCCTGTCTCTGTTTCGAGGGCGAGTCCTTCGATCCATGCTCATTGCCAGGCATTCGCTCATTTTCAAATCGGATTTTATCAACTGAATGCCATTCTTGTGCAAATATCTTATCTCGCTGCCGCGCAGGATAATGGCGACTTTTTCTCGGTACATCTCTGCTCCTTTTCGGCTTTAGCCGGAGCTCAGCACCGGCTTTGGATGCCGCCTTTGTATGGCTTTGGAATTATTTCGAAAGCGGAAATTGATTTTCCCTTCTTATTGTGCACCGTTTTTTTTCGTGTTTCTGTTGCTCTTCGTTGACGTGCTTTGCTGATTTCCCCAGACTCTTGCTGTACATACAAATAATTTTGGCTGAGCGCGAAGGGAGACACAGCATTTGTTTAGCCATAAATGGAAACTCACTTTTTCCCGTTTTCCCTGCACTGCAATGAGGCGCTCATTTGGCGCTATTGCGATGATAATACGGCGATGATTAGAAGCCCCAAAAAGCTGAGCACCAAAAGAGCTTCAGGGAAAGTGGATTTTAGCCGGGCAAAGCTTAACCCTTTTGGTTGAGGGATATTCTTTACGTTTATAGGAAATTATCTTAAAGTATTAATAATCTTAATAATTCGTTTGAGTTTGAGGGTTTCGTAGATGATAATAATAAAATTTCAAATGACTTTATTTCTTGCCATGTCTAGTTTTTCAAAATCACCCTTTGAAACATATCTTTAAAGTTTAAACAATAATATTTTTAAAAAATTACTCATACGCCACGTTGGCACAAAAATGAAAAGTATCCCTCATACGCAACGTTGGCTGCTAAAGGGTTAACCAAATTTGGGGCGAATAGGAGTAGCTGGGCGTTTCTGGGCCAGGCTATCAGTGGTCCTGCCCTGACCTGGGCCATTCATTCTCGCTGGTGTCGAGCCTAGTCCGAGGTCCTGGAACCGCAGAGCAGTGCCGACCGAGCATCCTTTGGCGTCGCGTCTTTGACATTATGAATGATCAGCATAAATTTCCCTGAGCCCTCGGAGCGCTCCAAGGCCCAGCTGCAGCAAGGAAAAAAGGAGCGGAAGAGCGAAGCGAAGCCAGATAACTAGCGGACAAAGTGAAGGACGGCTCAGAAATTCATTTCATTTCATTTCCTTTGTACGTGAGCAACATTTTTTATGCAATTCCATGTAATAATTCTCTTGGTTGTCGCCTTTTCACGCATGAATATTCAAGCGAGCAAGAGCGAGTGCCTGAGAGAAACCCTGGAGAAAGTCGGGGCTAATGAGACTTTCAATGGAATTTGACCATTTCTTAAACCCAAATCGTGTCCGGATTAGTTTATTCACACAGGCAAACAGACCGAATTCCCTGCCACTCGAATGCCCCAGAAATGTTTGGCCAACAAACTTGCACAATGAGACCCAAATAAGAGAGAGAGCAAATAATGTCAAGCGAAAACCCGAGATGAACGGAACGGAAAACTAAATTCAGTTTACATAATATAGCTCATAAAATATTTTTCGCACATTCATTGCCCCTTGGCCCAAAACTAGGCCACACTCCAGTGCCCCTCGAACACAATTCGGGCATAAACAATAAAGTAAAACGACAATGGAGACGGCGACGGCGACAATGACGACGAACTTGAAGGGAAAATAACTTGAAACTTGAATATTTACATATGAAACGAAAGCCACCCACGCGACACGAACCGAACAGACAGACACACAGGGAAAAATGTGGGGGGAGGATATGGATCAGTTCTGGGCCGGAGTTGGGTTTGAGACCGAGTTCGGGGTTCGAGACTAAACAGCACTAAATTAATTCTGCACAATTTGCATTAAAATATGCAAATAAAAAAGTGAAAGAGGCGCGGGCGGGTGGCGACCGTTTAGGGTTCCCCAACTATATACATCCGCCCGGCAATATACCATATATGCCAAGAGTCCCAGCAGTGAGGAGCGTTAAGCATATGTGTGCTCAAGTGGCTGCAGACAATGGAAGTCGCTGTTCGGGGGAGTTGGCCTTTTAAATTTCGAATGCTCCGTTATGGCTTTAATGGGGCCCACCAGCCCCAGGAGTATTTTTCGGCAAAGGGAGTCGGCGTTTCGAGTGCTTCGATTATGAAAGTGCCACCCCTGCCGCATCACATTATTGCATGTGGTGCAGTTGGATCGGGTTTGGAGTTTGGGAGGTGGTTGAGAATGAGCTGGAGGCCACATGTCTGTCTGTCTGGCTGGCCGGAATATTACACCCGGAGAAGCTCACTGCAAATTTGATTGTTCTTGGAGAGCGCGTGCCTCAACGTGGCCGCCAAGAAAACGGGCTCCAAGGACCCCGGGAAAATGGGAAATGGTAAATGGGTAACGGGCCCTGGCGTCGGCATCCAATGAAGCATGAAACTTTAGCACACTTGCAACAGTTTCCCATTTTTTCCAGCTCTTTTTCCACCAGCATTTCCTATCCGCTTTCCTTTCCCCGTTTTTCTTTCTTTCTTTTTTTTTTGAAAAATATGTTAGCTGCGACTTTGGTAATCTGCAGCGGGTGTATATGGCTGAATATCCGCACAACCAAGTATATACACACATTTACAGAGTGTAAGAAGGAGAAAGAAACTGGATAATGGTCGGGATATGCGTGCACAGTGAAGTGGCGATATTCTGAAGCAACAACAAAGTGTATAAATCCGGTCGATACTCCTTCGATTTATACCCACTGCAAGAGTGACTTTAAGATACGGTTCTTAGTTCTTAGAAGAACATTTTGCTTTTATTTAAAGACGTTTTAATTAAAAGCCTGAATTCGAATTTATAATCAAAATAATTCAAACCTCGATTACAATAATATATTTCCTTAATATCTCAAAAACCAAAATGAGCAATATGAAATAAAGTTAAATTAAATTAATCTAAGCATCTGGTCAAAAGGCTAAGCTAATTGGCAATCAATAAATGCAGTCAGGAAATGTATATTCAATAACCTGACTTGGGTAATTCATAATACCTGGCACTCGACATAATAAACGATTGATGGCAACTCACTCATTAATATTTAGCTAAATACAATTGAATGTGGAGAGTTCACTTGTTGTGTGTGCGTTTGTGGTTCGTGAAGCAAATACCTCTGGCCCTGCCAGCTTGCTACAATTTTAATTACACTGCCGATTCCACACAGTATGGTACGTATGTGAATCTAGGATTTTCATATTCACGGTGCACGT